GACACCCCTTTTTGCAAAGTCGCCCTCAAATGACAGGAAATGGCCTGAAACGTGCTCACAATGCATTTTCAACAGTTCCAGACAAGTACAACACTTGCAAACACTGACTTTGGCCATTTTTCCGCTCCCATTCATTTTCAATGGGAAATTTTCACTTCGCCATAACTTTTGATAGCAATGTCCGATCGCTGGTTCATTACTATTTCTAGATTCAGCATACCCGAAAATGGGGGGGTAGACCAAATCTCAGCCCGGTTCATCGATGGGAAAGGCAATGAACCGCCATGTCAAAAGTGGCACATATCCCTATATCCTAACCCTAACCCTAACCCTAACCCTAATCCCTAACCCTAACCCTAACCCTAACCCTAACCCTAACCCTAACCCTAACCCTAACCCTAACCCTAACCCTAACCCTAACCCTAACCCTAACCCTAACCCTAACCCTAACCCTAACCCTAACCCTAACCCTAACCCTAACCCTAACCCTAACCCTAACCCTAACCCTAACCCTAACCCTAACCCTAACCCTAACCCTAACCCTAACCCTAACCCTAACCCAACCCTAACCCTAACCCTAACCCTAACCCTAACCCTAACCCTAACCCTAACCACCCTAACCCCTAACCCTAACCCTAACCCTAACCCTAACCCCTAACCCTAACCCTAACCCCTAACCAAACCCTAACCCTAACCCTAACCCTAGGCCTAACCCTAACCCTAACCCCTAACCCTAACCCTAACCCTAACCCTAACCCTAACCCTAACCCTAACCCCTAACCCTAACCCCTAACCCTAACCCTAACCCTAACCCCACACCTAACCCTAGCCCCATTAACCTTCAACCCCTAACCCTTCGGGTTAGGGGTTGAAGGTTAATGAGGCTAGGGACTAACATTTAGGGTTAGGGTCAGGGTTAGGGTTAGGGTTAGTGTTAGGGTTAGGGTTAGGGGTCAGGGTTTGGTTTACGGTTAGGGTTAGGGTTAGGGTTAGGGTTAGGTCTAGGGTTAGGGTTAGGGTTAGGCCTAGGGTTAGGGTTAGGGTTAGGGGTTAGGGTTTGGTTTAGGGTTAGGGTTAGGGTTAGGGTTTAGGGTTAGGGGTTAGGGTTAGGGTTAGGGTTAGGCCTAGGGTTAGGGTTAGGTCTAGGGTTAGGTGTTAGGATTAGGGTTTGGTTTAGGTCTAGGGTGAGTGTAAGCGTAGGGGTTTAGGGTTTGGGGTTAGGGTTAGGGCTGGGGTTTGGTTTAGTTCTAGGGTTAGGCTTTTGGTTACACACTGTGTTAGGATTATAATTAAACCCAAGGTTAGTGTAATGACCAGACCTAGGGGTTTTTTAAGACCTAGGGTGAGTGTCAGATAGTTTTAGAACTTCAGACTTTGGGTCTGAAATTTTAAATGTCAGTGGTTAAACATATTTTCAATAACAACCTTAGATAGTAGTTTCAAACACTACGGTTAGGGTTAGGGTTAATATTAGAGCTGGGTTAGGGTTACACCTAGGGTTCGAGTTAGGGCTAGGGTTAGGGTTAAACCTAGGGCTAAATAAAAGTTAGGGCTAAGATTAGAGTTAGGGTTATAACCTAGGACTAGGGTTAAACATACAGTTAGGGTTAGACATAATGTTATTGTCAGGGTTAGACCTAGGGTTAGGGTTAAACCCAGGGTTCGGATTAGGGCTATAACTTTTGTTAGGGTTAGGGTAAGGGTTAGACCTACTGTTGGGGTAAGAACTAGAGTTAGGGTTAGACACAGGGTAAAGGCCAGACCTAGGGTTTAGATTAGGTTGAAACGTAGGGTTGGGGTTGGATCAATTTTAGATTTTGGGGCATACATTTCAAATGTTAGTTGTAAGAAAGATTCCAAATTACGAGCTTTGAGATATTATCTTCAAATAATACGTTTATAAAAGATTCCAATCTTTAATTTTGAATTTAAATTTTTTAGAGAAATGATCCTGGTTTCTATCTAAGGGTTAAAGTTACGGTAACCACTTTTAAAAATGTGAGAGGCATAGCACGGCGTTGGTGGTTATCTCCGCCCTTATTTCTGAGCTACTTCCCACCATGAATTAGCACAGCAGAAAGCGTCTTTGTACACTTTCAGGAGGACATTGTACAGGTGGGGATAGCAGCATACTTAACAGGTGTTATGCCGTAGAATGCACCCCCTGCCGTAGATGCACCCCCTGCATCCCCTCCACTTGTTAGCTTCTCAAAGATGGCTCCGCGCCCCCCTGGGGGGGCAGGCCACACACTTTGAGAAACACTGCCTTAAGCCTAACCTCAGGTTAAACATAAATATATTATTTTGGATTAATAAGAATCAGCAGTTAAAGGGTTAACATTTTCAAATTAAATAGAGTAGAAAATAACATAAAATATCCGAGAAATTCAGTTAATTATTTGTTAAAAGGTATAAAAGGTGAGAAGGGAACAGGGACATTTCTTCTTTTTTTAGCTGCTGTCAACACCTATGAATTGGTGCCCAGCAGCCCTTTCTTATGTGTGCACAGACCTGAAGAAGACCCAAGTCGGGTCGAAACGTCATTGATGATGCACACATTATTTGTACATAGTTCATGTGTAGTTCATGTATTGTGTGTTTGTGAGTAAAAAACAGTTAAAAATGTAAGATATTTAAAAACAATAACTCAACCCATTAAAGCCAACTTAAAAACAATATTTATTAAACACAAGTAGTGTTCTTAGTGGGACCGGGGGAGTGTGTCCGGTGGGGCGAAGACCCGTGCACGCCCCACTCCTTGAAGACCCAAGCAGGGTCATAACTTAGAGGGAGACGGGAGTCATTCCCCAATCCTAACCCTAACACAGGAGCACTCCGAGAAGCTAACCCTCAAATGACAGGAAATGGCCTGAAACGTGCTCACAACCCATTTTCAACATTTCCAGACAAAGTCCAACACTTGGAAACACTGACTTTGGCCATTTTCCGCTCCCATTCATTTTCAATGGGAAATTTTCATTTCGCCATAACTTTTGATAGGAATGTCCGATCGCTGGTTCATTACTATTTCTACATTCAGCATACCCGAAAATGGGGGGGGGGGGGGAACCAAATCTCAGCCCGGTTCATCATTGGGAAAGGCAATGAACCGGCATGTCAAAAGTGGCACATACCCCTATATCCCTAACCTAACCCTAACCTTGGGACTGACCCTAACCCTAACCCTAGTGGACCTCCTGTCTCCTATTCTAGGAGACAGTCCCCCTATTTCCATAATCCTAACCCTAACCATTCCCCAAACCTAACCCTAACCCTAACCCTAACATGTGTAATGGCATGAATGTGTTGAATTAGTAATCCCTTGTGTTAAGCCGTTGTTTTAGTGTTCTTATGATTAGTTTGGCTTGTTGTTATGAACATTGTTCGTTTTGGCCAGTTTGAAGGTTTTGGAGCATGTGTAATGGCATGAATGTGTTGAATTAGTAATCCCTTGTGTTAAGCCGTTGTTTTAGTGTTCTTTTGTATGGGGTGCCGTTTGTAAAGCAGCCCATCATAAAAACAACAGCAAGATTTGGTCACATTTAGCAAAACAACAGCAAGATTTTGTCACATTTAGCTTCAAACAGCATTTAAAAAAGTGATGTGAATTTTCGGCAGTCATTTTTTTGCGCATTTACAACAACATTTAAATACTAAAACTAAATGTTAAATATAAATCTAAATGTTAAATATAAATCTAAATGTTAAATCTAAATCTAAATGTTAAATCTAAATCTAAATGTTAAATCTAAATGTTAAATCTAAATGTGTTGGGCGAAACTAAATATTTAGCTAATATGCAAATTCACGGTCGGAAACCGGAAGTGCCAAAATAAAAGCTCCAGAAGGTCATATTGATGATTCTTGTGTCGAAGAAAACGAATTAAAACCAATTTAAGGGGGGAACAAATACTTGGGGTGACGTTTCGTGTTAATAACTACCTACAATAGCGACAGCAACAACAAAAACTTTATTAGAAAGACTCGAGTTTTCAGTGTCGCTTCTCCGTATGGCGCGGACACTGTACGAACACACGCACACACACATGCAGGCGCACACACCATACTGCTCCATGGCACCTCATCGATTCAAGAAGTGCATTGGCCATACGGGTAATGCGGACGACTGGGACGCAGGAAATCGGGGTTCGAAACCCTGTCTTTTGTCTTCCACTTTGTCTTTTGGGTCATTTATTCATTTATTCATTTATTTATTTATTTATTAGCTTAATTTAATTCATTCACTGCCATTTAGAAGAGTCTGGCGCAGGTTGTCAGCAAATCTCGTGTGTTTTTTTTTTTTTTTTTGGGCGGATTTTCCACTTCGACCAACAATCCGCCCATCCTTTGCGCGCGCCCCCCTTCCCCCACCACCACCACCCCGAAACCGGCCCGCGCTGTAAGGTCAAGCTTCTTCAAGCCTGAATAGAACAAAAAATGTCCGGGGATTCTGCGCTCGCGGAGAACATCGGGAGAGCTGTATTAGCAGCCATCAGAACTCTTCCTCCCTCTGCAGCTTCATCGGTGGCTGTGGCAGCGTCCGCCACAAGGCCACCACAGCACTCGGTAAGTTTGCTTTACAACTATTAGCTCTACTTAACTACTACTTGCTAGCATTAGCCTCATCAAGATTTCCCTTCAGTAAAGTTTTCGTTTGTTTGTATGCTTTAACTGCAATTTTCTGCAATGAAATTGCAAAACGGTGAGGAATTTTTTAAAAAATCTGTTAATGCAACACCCTGTTCCCACTATGCAAATGAACAGAGTCATTTCTATTGACTTCCTCTGACATTCTGTAAAGTAATGACTGGAAACATGCATCCATTATGCAAGGCCAACATATTTCCCTCAGATATTGATATGAAGACTCTGGCCGAACGTGTGTTCAATAATGCGATTGCACAATCACGTTTTACTGGAGGGACTGATCAGGGCACATCATGCATAGCACATTTGTTTAGCGTTTGATTACTGGATGTAATGACATCAGAACACAAAAGAAAATGCTGCTAACATCTGGACCAGTCACAAACAGCACCTCCACCGGGACAAACCGCTCGGTATGCACTTATGACATAGTGGTTTATGCTTCTATCCTAATGTCGCCAGTTATCGATCAGTAGTATAGAGAGCCTGTAGTTGCTCAAAGACACTGTCAGTAGGTCTCCATCTACTGTTTGCATCAACTTTAAAAACGTATCGATGTCATGTAATTTATGTGTTTCATTTATTTCAGGTTCTTCTTCCATCCGTTCCTCATAGACCTGCCACACACTCACGAGTTTGGAGAAAAAACAAGACTTGCAAACACTACACAAGGGATGTTGTGTGCTTGCCTTTCTCTTCTTCTTCTTCTGTATCTTCTTCAACATTACGTATTCCGAGGGGTGACTCCAGAGCAAAGTTAGCGCAAGATGGACTTATTGGGAAAATCTCATTTACCTCTGACTGGTCTGAAGCTCAACTTAGAGATGAAATTACTGCCATTTTCAGAAGAACATTTGCATTACCCATTGGCCAACCATTGCCCTTTGAGTATTTGAGCACAGTCAAGGGATGCAAAAAACTAATGAAACCAAATGTCTCAAGCAACTTTCTTTGGGGTGGAAAGGAAGTTGGCTCAATCACCTCAACTTCTTGTCTATATATACTGGCATTAATGCACAAACCTATACAGGTAAGGATTTCATATTACAATACACAGTATGTATTGTAATATGTAGTAGCGTAGTAGGAATGCAGTACTGTATATTTGAAGCAAAAAAAGTCTGCTCCTCAGCTCATTTTTGCTTGTTAATATAGATTAATGCATTGTTTTTCAACAACTGTGCAATGGCACATTATCTGGTGTGCAAAGGGGAAAAATCCAGTATCACATCAATGGTCTTTGCTGTCTGGTGAGTTATATTCTTCCATATAAGCTGGTGGCCGGAGCATGTAGCGGTGTACCTGTGCTTTATATTGGTAACATAGGGTACAGAGTCTCATTATTAATATTTCTGGTTTCTGATGTGCCTCATGATTCCCTTATTTTACTTTTTATTCATTTATTTATTTATTTTTAAATGAACCTTTGCCCAAAAAAGGGTTAAGAATACTGGATTAATGTAGTTCTTTATTTTTTACATCAGTTTTATGTATAACTAAATAGCCTCCTCTTCCATTTCATTTACTTGATATATTATATATTGCACATACCTTTTTTCCTAGGAGGAACCTGAGGAACTATCAGAGGATGACTTTGAAAGTCCAGTGTGCCTGAGAAGGAGAGGTTGGTTTTACAGAACTGTGTGTTTGCCAGTATTCCATTTCCACTCTTCCATTTATCTTGTGGTTTTCATTTATCATGTCTTTTCTTGTCTTTTAGTCCATAGGCAGTGGGTTTAGTGCTTGGCCATCATAATGCTGCTTGTAGCTCTCCCAGCTTTAAAAATTGTTGTCTGTGCAGTAGTGATTTTCCCAGTGAGTTTATCATTTACAGTAGCCTATGTTTACACATTTTATATGATCTACTTTATACTATGCATACTGTAGGGAGAATGGTAAATGGTCACTATAGCAGCCTTCTCAGCGCTAGTGCACAGAGCACTTCACCGTAGATCACATTCACCAATTTGACACACTGATGGTGGAAAGGCTACACAAAGCAGTAACCACAACCCATCAAGATCAAGTGGGTCAAGGTGTCTTGCTCAGGGACACATCGACACGGCTCTGGGCCGGGGGATCGCACCAGCAAGGCTGAGCTAATGGCCGCCCAACAATCATTGAAAGGACAATTTTCAGAAATGTTGAACTACTACTTTAAGGTTGATTAATACATCCTGAGTAATCTTATTAAAAATGTAAAAAGGTAGACCGGCTGAATTAAGTGTTTACACTACCTGCTGCACACTTCAGTGTGCATTTGTATGTTTAAGAGAGTAAATATCTATAAACTAATGTGTGTGTATTATACACACACACACACACACATCAGCTTCTGAATACTATGTTTTCTTTAACTACTGGCTATATTTTTCCTTCTCTTTTCAATCACCTTTAATTTAGTTCATACAATGGAATCTGACATGGATAAAGATGAGCTGCATCAGGAAACAGAAGATGTCAGACAAGGAAGTGTGAACAACAGACTGCGAGAGAATCCACTGCATCAAAGTAAGAAGTTTGGCATAACATTTGTTCAAATCATATGTTCAAGAGCTGTATGGTAACACTATTATTGAAAAATAATTAGAATGGTTATAAGAAACATTCGCAATGCATAAATTATTCAATGACATAATCTAAGAGCTTGCTGATGCCTCACTTACTACTGTGCGTGTCACAGGCTTTGTTAGCAAACTAAAATTGTACCCGTGCCTCTCTTATCGTGTTCTGCATTGTCATGATAATTAATAATGAATGATAATGATGACAGGATGTATTTTGAAAAACAAGACAGAGTAATTGCCAAGTGACCCATGATCACTCATTTAGTCTGCAAACCATAACTACACTTCTGATTACCCGACAGACCTTTGTAGGCTAGTGAGAAAAGCACAGGGATCTTCAGATTTTCAAAGTAATATTTTGTGACCAAAGCTTAACATACAATGCCAACCTCACAGAAAAGAGGCACAGTTCAGTTATTTGAAATGAAACAAATTAAAGTGCATCGCTCCAACATCGCTCCTCTCATTCAGTTTTGCCTTCTTTGTCTGCTTTTCCTCATGCGGTGGGTGGTACAGTGCCTTCACCCTTGATGGAAGGTGAGGCTGGGCATCTGGAGACAGAGAGCAGTACTCTGGACGGTGACAATGAGAGAGAGGCAGAAGAGCCAAGACAATTGTTTCCATACAACGTGGCCGAATTTATGTAAGATATAGTTAGAGGTTCATTGAAAAGGTTCCAGTATAGATGTTCTTGTGTTTACTTGTGAACGTATAGAAGAGTCTGTCTGTCAGTCCGTCCGTGACATCCGTTAGGTACAGAATTTAAATTGAATCAAGCAAGATAGAGAATTGACAGGTCTTAAAAGGTTTAGCAGTTTGACGACAATTCTTTGAGGTTGACAATATACTGCATATGTTCTGTCTGCTGAATGTTCTGCTGTGCCTTTCTCTCCTTGTTTGCTCAGCCCTTTTTATCTTGAGGAGGAAGAAGCTCTTGAGGAGGCAATTCAGCGTAGTCTAATAGAAGACTCTGCTGGACCAAGTACTGTTCATACTTTAAGGTAAAAGTCACAAGTGATATTTAATTAATCATAAAATTCATCACTACATCAGTGTGAACATGTCAAACAAAATAAAACAATTTGCTCCCAAGTTAATTGTCCAATTTATGCACAGATGTCCAAGGGTGTGTTTATCTTTTTCATTGTCATTTTTATATAGATCCTCTGAAAAGCTGAGCAAGGAAGAAATTGCAGGCCTTCTACGAGCTCATAGTGAGAAGGTCATTACATCGGGAACGAGGAAAATCTTCATCAGTCGAGCCAATGTGTGGACCACAACCTTGCGGCAGTTTAAGAGGCCCAGGTTTGCAGAAAGCTGTGACATGCTGTATGTCACATTTGCAAGTGATGAACATGGTTGTGAGGAAGATGCCGCTGATCTTGGGGGACCTAGACGGGAATTCTTCCGCCTACTGGTTAAGGCTATCTTCCAGGACAGTGGAGCTTTTGAAGGTAAAGATATTAGTTACAAGTATTATATATATTAGTATAATGAAGGGTCAGAGGCAAGTCATTCTGTGGGTAAATTTGTTTGTGTTTCAAAGATATACTCTATTATTATTACCTCCACCAAGGAGGTTATTAGGAGAGTTTGTCTGTCTGTCTGTCTGTCTGTCTGTCTTTTTGCGAACAACATAACCCAAAAAGTTATGGACCAACTTTTATGAAATGTTCAGGATATGTCCAGACTGAGAAAAGGAAGAAGTGATTAAGTTTTGGAGTTGATCTGGATCACCATCTGGATTAAGGAATTTTTGAAGGATTCTTTATCATTGCGAGATAGGGCCATTTTCAGCATATGTGTATGTAACCTATGTCATATACTTGGTGGAGGTCTGCGCTTTCAGAGGGCTTTTCTAGTTTTAAATATGTTTCCCTTCCCTCCCTGGTCAAAGGGCATAATTTATTTTGTGGTTACCTGGCCACAAATATTGAGTAAATATGAGAAAATGTCAAAAACACATGAACATTAAAAAGCCCAACTGGGATGGGTGCTGGAACAAAAAATTGTAAATTGCAGAGCAAAGGTAAGTCTACACAACACACCAGTGTGTGGACAAATATTGAGGACACAGTACAGATTGATCTGTTTATTTATTCTCTCAGGCACACCAAATGGATACACACCACGGTTGAACATCCTCCACCTGCAAAATGGATTGTATCGGACCATTGGAAGGATGATCTCAACAATAATTGTACAAGGGGGTGAACCACCTGCATTCTTGGCCCCACATGTTGTCGATTACATTTTGTATGGGGACATACTGCAGCTACATTTGACACCTGCTGATATAGGTGACCCAGAGTTAAGGGAGAACCTCAAAAAGGTGATAAGCAATGATAATAATAGTTAAAATAATGATAATACTACTAATAATAATAAAAATAAATTCTATGTATAGAGCGCTTTACGCTTTTCATATTATCAGTTGAAGACTTTTGCACTGCAGGTCACGATACAAATATTCAAGATGACAGATTGTAAATTTATGTGAGAAATAAAACTACACTGTCATCTGATTTGTTTTATTATGGTAAATTATCCCAACTTCTGTTTAGAGTGTTGAGCACGCAGATTTTTCTTCTCATGTCCTTCTCATCTCTCTCTCTCTCTCGCTCTCTCTCTCTCTCTCTTTCTCTCTCTCACACACACACACACACACACACACACACACACACACACACACACACACACACACACAGGAGGGAGGGAGGGAGGGCTGGCTGTTTAAATACAGGTATAGGTTCAATGGTTCAATTCTGTGTCAAAATAACTGAAGGCCTGCAGCTAATCCTGCCTGGTTCTTATTAAAGCCTAGGGTCAAAGCTAATGTTACATATTAATCGCATGGGCTATTTACTGGGCAAATACGGTATACTTTTTATTGTTGTAAAATTTTATGAAATGTAATAATTTGAGAAAATTGCATTTTAAAGATTTGATGTGTTCTTAGGTTCAACATGCAACCACACCAGATGAATTGGAGGAAGCAGTCAGCTGCTGTGATTCTTGGCGATTTCAAGTTGAGGGTCTTCCCCACATCGTCACAATGGACAACAGAGACATTTTTGTCAAAAATGCAGCCCTTTACCATGGAGTTCTTCAACGGCAAAGCTCTCTCGACCAACTGCTTGATGGCTTGTCCTACTATGGTGTAAGATTTACCTTAGTTCTCATGTTCGATTAACACCTAGCTGTAATAAAAGTTTAAAAAATTAAGGGATTAGTATATATATCTATAAAAAGGCCCATAGATATATATTAGCATGGGTCGTTTTATGACATGAAATGTTGTAATATTTTTCACGACATGAAATTTTATTAAAACTGGTTTAGATTTGAATACCTACATTACTTAACCACAATCACTTTTTTTGTGACTACCCCTTCAGGTTTTATCTCTCCTGAGAGAGAACCCCGGTGTGCGTGTTCTCCTTGACATGCCAGAACAGGACAGTGATCTGGCAGCGGATCTTGTTGCTGCTCTTCTTAAACCAAGCTACTCAGTACTGGGAAGTAACCGAAGAGCAAAAGAGGAGTTGATAGTGGTAAAGTTTCGAGACTTTCTCCAATGTGTTGAAGGTAAGTTGAAAGATACTCTTTACTCAGGATATTTAACAATAACGAAATCTAGGACAGGGGTTCTGAACCTTTTGAAAGCTAGGCCCCCCCAACGCTGGATCAATGCAGTTAGGCCCCCCCTCCTCCGGGCGCCACCCACTCAAGATAGATTGATAGACAGATTATCTATCTGTCTGTCTGTCTGTCTGTCTGTCTCAATATCCATACATCTATTCTCATCTCAGGCTGCTCTGTGCTTGGCTTCTGCTTCCTTCCTCCTCTCCACTCATCCTCTGAAGTGTATGTATTCACTGAAGACAAAAATTTTGATGAAATCCCTAAATTTCTATATTTTTAAATATAAATCCCACTGGCATAGACCAGGTTGCACCGCGGCCACACAGCGCAGCTGGAGTAGAGGAGGGGAGGAGGAGAGCAAGAGTAGGAAAGGAGAGACAGAGGTAAGGAGAGGAGGGGATTGTGTACACTTTCCCAGTTGAGAACCGCTGATCTAGGATATTTATAGTCATTTTAATTTTTACAACCACTCATGAAGGTTCATGAGTTGATAAGCTAACCAATGTTTATGTACTTCTAAGAACATACCATAGTTGCTATTTCACCAAAGTTTAATAGCATGAATGCTTCAATCATAGCAAACTTCAGTATTTTTCAGTCTACTGGTTATAACTTGATTTTCTTTGCTTTAGATAAAGAGCTGAGAGACACATTCGAAGACAGGACTCTTACCGACGAGGAAGATGCTTTCCTTAACATTCTGAGTCCCAGTCACATACTGGCATTTGCTACAGGGAGCAGCAAAGTCCCTGCCATTGGCTTTCAGCCAACTCCGAAGTTGACATTCAATCATGATGGAAAAAAGAATTATCCCATTGCACACACTTGTGCTAATGAGCTTGAGCTTTTTGTGAATGCAACTACAACCCAGGATAATGATGAATTCAACTACTGTTTTCTTGTTGCACTGATGAATGGATCTGTATTCAGCACAATTTAATAATTTTCAGGGTTTCACTCAGATTTTTGGTGTGGGAATGTTTGAGAAGTTGTTTGGTGTCAGCAGTATGCATAGTATGAAAGTATATAGGCATGCACAGTACTACTATGCATTTAAAAGCCAATAAACCAATGGAATGTCTGCTGATGCAATTTCATTTATTTCTCTCTTCATACATTTTATACTTAATGTCCAAAAAATATTGAGCTGATCTTAAAACAGCCTTTCTACCAGCCTACTCCAAATAACAGTACACCATTTTTTTTCAAACGTATACCACTACCGATTGACACGCTAATGTCACATTTCAATGGCCTCATAGAATTAGACATTCACAATTTTGTTATATACGAATTCCTGTACTCTATGATACAATATTTTCCCCTTGTTACCATCATCTTCAAGAGGGTCAACAGCAACCACCAATTCTTGCAGCTCCTGCTGGTTGAGTGGGCAAAAGCAGTAATGTGCTTGAGATACTGATAAAAATTCCACTGTTTCCTCAGTTGCAGCCTCAGGATAGTGTAGTGTGAGAAGATGTTTGTCGAGTGTGAAAAGCTGAAGGGGGGTTCTGTTCCCCTCAGAGGAGACTGAATGATGACTGAATGCAGATTTAAACCCTTGTAAGATGTGATTGATCCTTGGAATGTACACAAAATGAAGACAAAACAAATCAGATTCATTGTCTACATCCAAGGCCTCCATGCTCTCTAGCTCATAGAATATTGGTGCAAACACATCACGGCAGTTTCTGTTCAAATCACGGTTGAATCTCTCAATTCGTTGATTATGAACAGAACTTCCTGTAAAAACAGAATTATCACCTCTATGCACCCTCATGTCATCCCAAATCTTGACATTTTCCCCTCCATGATCAGTTCTGATGTGAATTGGCCGGCCAAATTCACTGATAGCTGTACCGAAGAGGTCCATGACAGTCTCAGCCCTGTTGTTGTTGGCACACTGGAGGAATGTCAACATTCTGCTGTAGCCATCCATTGCACCGTGTACAACCAATTTCCATCGAATTAATTTATGATTTCCATCAATGTGCCATATATAGTTTGGACAAGGCACGGTGTACACTCTTCTTTGAATTGTTGTTGTACTTCTTGACGCAACACCAGCACCATCAACCCTTTTTATGGAGTTTCTGAGAAGATGTCTCTGAATCACTATGTTTCTCGCCCGCAAATGTCCATTCAGCATAACTTCTCCTATATAAGGATGTTCTGCTTTTATGTTGCTTACTGTTGCATCCAATTCCTCATTGGAAATTACACAGAATTTGGTGTGCCTTATGTTAAATTCACGCATCAACTTGTACAATGTTGGTCTGGAGATCTGTAGCACTGAGGCAACTTCAGTGAGTGTTGTTCCCAGCTGCAGCAGACCTTCAATTTCTTCTTTTGAGATTGACGGTTGTCCATCCTACAAAAAGGAAAGGACACAAAATAGTTACAATCAATATACTTGTATCGTCAGATCCCTTGGCATCACCATCAACTTTGCTGGGTAATAAATAAAATCAGCAATATGAGATTGTAAAACACAAGCTCTAATGGTTTGTTATTCTGTTATAGAAGTGATTTATTTTGGTCAAAACTGAGAAGAAAGTTGATATTTCATTACATAATCAGGTCACAAAATTGCACCAATCAGCCAATACTGCATTTTAAAGATGTGTAATTATATTTTCATTATATTGTCACTGAAATAAATGAAACACATAAATTACATGACATCGATACGTTTTTAAAGTTGATGCAAACAGTAGATGGAGACCTACTGACAGTGTCTTTGAGCAACTACAGGCTCTCTATACTACTGATCGATAACTGGCGACATTAGGATAGAAGCATAAACCACTATGTCATAAGTGCATACCGAGCGGTTTGTCCCGGTGGAGGTGCTGTTTGTGACTGGTCCAGGTGTGGCAGGGGCCTGAAGAGACATTTAGCAGATGTTAGCAGCATTTTCTTTTGTGTTCTGATGTCATTACATCCAGTAATCAAACGCTAAACAAATGTGCTATGCATGATGTGCCCTGATCAGTCCCTCCAGTAAAACGTGATTGTGCAATCGCATTATTGAACACACGTTCGGCCAGAGTCTTCATATCAATATCTGAGGGAAATATGTTGGCCTTGCATGATGGATGCATGTTTCCAGTCATTACTTTACAGAATGTCAGAGGAAGTCAATAGAAATGACTCTGTTCATTTGCATAGTGGGAACAGGGTGTTGCATTAACAGATTTTTTTAAAAATTCCTCACCGTTTTGCAATTTCATTGCAGAAAATTGCAGTTAAAGCATACAAACAAACGAAAACTTTACTGAAGGGAAATCTTGATGAGGCTAATGCTAGCAAGTAGTAGTTAAGTAGAGCTAATAGTTGTAAAGCAAACTTACCGAGTGCTGTGGTGGCCTTGTGGCGGACGCTGCCACAGCCACCGATGAAGCTGCAGAGGGAGGAAGAGTTCTGATGGCTGCTAGTACAGCTCTCCCGATGTTCTCCGCGAGCGCAGAATCCCCGGACATTTTTTGTTCTATTCAGGCTTGAAGAAGCTTGACCTTACAGCGCGGGCCGGTTTCGGGGTGGTGGTGGTGGGGGAAGGGGGGCGCGCGCAAAGGATGGGCGGATTGTTGGTTGAAGTGGAAAATCGCCCAAAAAAAAAAAAAAAAAACACACGAGATTTGCTGACAACCTGCGCCAGACTCTTCTAAATGGCAGTGAATGAATTAAATTAAGCTAATAAATAAATAAATAAATGAATAAATGAATAAATGACCCAAAAGACAAAGTGGAAGACAAAAGACAGGGTTTCGAACCCCGATTTCCTGCGTCCCAGTCGGCCGCATTACCCGTATGGCCAATGCACTTCTTGAATCAATGAAGTGCCATGGAGCAGTGTGGTGTGTGCGCCTGCATGTGTGTGTGCGTGTGTTCGTACAGTGTCCGCGCCATACGGAGAAGCGACACTGAAAACTCGAGTCTTTCTAATAAAGTTTTTGTTGTTGCTGTCGCTATTGTAGGTAGTTATTAACACGAAACGTCACCCCAAGTATTTGTCCCCCCCTTAAATTGGTTTTAATTCGTTTTCTTCGACACAAGAATCATCAATATGACCTTCTGGAGCTTTTATTTTGGCACTTCCGGTTTCCGACCGTGAATTTGCATATTAGCTAAATATTTCAAGAGTACCCAGATGCAGCGCCAAGATGGCGGACCCAAAGATAAAAAACCACATTTACAAAACGCAATAAGTTTCCGCATTACCTCCGATTGGCGGACCCAAAACATGAACTTTGAACTTCTGCTTTGCGATGCCAGAACAGTAGGTGGCGGTATGCACCTACACTTTCTGACGGCAAAATTTACAGAAGAAGAAGAACTCTCAGGAAGTTTGAAAAGAAGCAAGCCGTCCGCATTCATTCAATCTCACCTCCGACCCACTCAAACTAACCCTAACCCTGCATTCCATTGTTTCCATCATGGGAAATCTAAGTGACGCTCTCAAATTAACAGGAACATTGCGCAGAAGATATGTCCTGGGCAATGGACTGAGAAAACGGGCAGAGATTTAGAGGTATTTGTGCATGCTCTATATTACAGTTGAAAAGTGTATAACAGCTTTCCAATGCTGTTACTTGTGGCGAACACCTTTTTGCTTGAGTTGATGCGTGCCCGCAGGTGGAATAATGTCACATGTCACACACATTTTCTGTTGTTTTGATTTATTTACTCATTCATCATTTTATGTGCGCACCTCTCCTAATCAACCCACCCATTAAATAGACAGGCACAATAGCACCATCTGCTGGCACAAAAAATACATAACAATAAACTGCAAAACCCCAATCTGGCTCCTACAAAGTGTATGTGACAAGATGATTAACGTTTGCTTTTGTTAAATCAGGGCTTCCCCAGCCAGGACTTCGGCTCAGACTGTGGCATATTCATGTTGATGGTAGGTCATAACGAGCTGTAATGCACAAATATTGTATCTAGAATAACTTTCCAACATGGACTTTTTTAAAGTTATCTCACATGTTGTCTCATAATTTTTTTTTAAAAGTCTGCCATGTACATCGTTATGGAGTCACAGTTTGACTACTCAGTTGTAAGTACTTTTCAACACGCAGTGTCATCCTCAAGATTGTATTTTGTATTGTGCACTAAAATGAAATACAAACAACAATTTCAGCATGACATGCCTGTTTGGTGGCGATGGTGGTGCCTGTTGCTCCTGGAGAACAATTCTTTGAACAGGTAGACAGTTTAAGTAAACTAGATGTCCTAATTAACTGGAAGACAATCAATATATTGTACTTAAAGACATATTGTCATTACAGTTGTGGGAAAATCTTCGCCCACTGGACCAAAGAATGTCAAGAGCTCATTGCTGGAAAGCATACTCCGGTCTTCAGTCTAAAGAGGAAGGCAGAGCAGCAGGACATAGAGGTTAGAAAATTGCCTTCTAAAAACAGTATTATCTCAGTGGGAGTCCTTCAAAATGCACACAGTTGTATGGATCAACATTGTCTCGATGTATTTGGTAATTGATGTTACTTTTCAAATTGCCTTGTCAAGGAAACCATGACGCAGACGGTATCGGATGTCCAAAGAATGTGCATGGCAGAGTCGATGCAATTCTGTGTCTACCAGACATCGAACAACACAGGAGAGAGGTGTGTTGCAGACTCAATTTAATAAATGCAATTATCGGGGCCTATTCAGTGATTTTCCATGAAGTGACCACTTTTACATATAGTTTAAATGCACGAATCATGCAGGAAAATTATTTATACATTCAAATGTGCTGCAGAGGTATAATCAATTGGACAGCGTGTTTGTTTGATATTATGTTTGTCTCTCATTTGATCAGACTGCTTTACCCTGAGGTAAAATTGATCAAATGGGTCCAGTGCAAGACGTGCAGGGGCTGGCTGCATCAGGATTGTGCTGGGATTGAAATGGAGCCGTTTGACTGCGGGTGCGAGGACTCCATTGAGCATCCTCGGTATAACATAATTTATCAAGGAAACATAGTATCAGTCAAAAATACGAGGCTCAAAGGATGAAAAAATGAGGGCTTGCTCTTTTCTTATTTCTCTGCAGGATCAAGGATGCTGTTGACAGTTGAGGAATTGATGCTGTCTTTTCTAAGACACAGATCAAGGTTGCTTTTGAATGCACTATCAGTTGTTAAAGCCACCGTTTCTTTTTCAGATGATTACATTTTTGTCTCTTGCTCTTTGGTTTCAGACATTACACGATGATCTACTCTCTGGAAAGATCCGCTCCAACAGAATGTTCCTTTGGAGGAATCCCGCCACCTCACTCCGACTAAAGCAGCATCTTAAGATAAGGACACTAAGTTGGAGTGAGCAGCGCGTAAGTAAAAATGCCATCCATCATGAGTATTTTTACTCTCAGGGGTGTTACATTTGAAAGCTGTTTACTTTCTGTGTTTTTCTTCAATAGATGTTCGAGCTCCTGCGGTTCATTGAGGTGGCAACAAACATTTCTAAAAAAATAAAGAGAGGCGAGATTTATCTGCTTGATTTCGTTTTTGACGTCATGCTCCCAGAGGTGAGTAGATCAAACTATATAGCTTGCTTTGAAAATTGATGATATTGTTAAGAGGTTGTTCTTATTCATTTGGAAAGCTCAAGAACAACAATTAACCCATACTGCATAACTTCAATTGTTCACATTATTTGACTGTTTTTCAGCTTTTGATCAAAGCACTGAAGGAGCATGGCATCAACCGGTTCAGAGCAGAGCTGATGATGGCCTGTGGCAACGTGTTTTAAGCCCCCCACCACACCGACGGCAGTGCTGAATTTTGTATATATATATTTTTTTTTACTGTTCACAATTTTGTTTGGAAAAAATTAAAGAAATCTTCAAAGCAGTTGTATGACAATTTCCCATTTCTTTACACAGTCTGTAATGATATCGCTATTCAATTGTTTTTGCTATATGGCTCTTCTGAACCTTAAAGAGATCATGTGACTTGTGTCTCTACAACTATTGTATACTTGGATTTTGCACAGTCAAGCAATCCTGAAGAGGTTCACCAGGAAGCACACCATTTCATAAATTATGTCCCTGGTTACACAATGTTACTAAAGGATGGGGGGGAAATATGTGCAGCAACATAAGCACTCTCATAAAACATAATTATGAACAACAGAAAATATGTGAGGGTCAGGGCAACATTGTTGACATTAAACGAGGTCCTAATAGGAGTGGAGAAACAAGGTCACAGAGAAGTTAAGAAACATTGATGTGCTGTGTAATAAAGCTATTGGAGAGAAAAGTTAGAAAACACTGTTATATGATGTGTAACGAGAGGTTAAAACAGTCCATACTTGTAGCAAACTCTTACAAAAGAATTTGAGTAAGATGATAACTTCTACATACATTTACCTATTCTGACAAATTATCAGAATATGAGGACATCAGGCTATATATACATATTACTGTAAACTTCAGAATTAAATCAGAACAAAACAGTTGTCATAGTTAATACATAAACGTTTTATTTTGATTTTTAGCTCAATAATAAATTTAATTCGATTCTTATGGAATGAACGGAGCAAAAAAAAAAGGATCCGGCGACTAAATCCGACTACCTGAAGTATTTCGGCGCCGGAAGTCCGCCAACGAGAAAGCCTTTCCACCGGAAGTAATTGTTTTGGGTCCGCCAATCGGAGGTAATGCGGAAACTTATTGCGTTTTGTAAATGTGGTTTTCTATCTTTGGGTCCGCCATCTTGCGCTGCATCTGGTCACCTCTCTGTTCTTGCCTTAGTACGACCGTTTTTAGCTAGTTCCTTTAGTATTGATTGTAATAGTGGAGGCAGAAATGTTGAGGAGATCTGCAAGAAAGAGGAGACTTCCAGCTCAATTTGTGGAGGAGGAAGAGAAGATGGAGATGCAGGAGGAGGCAGGGGGTGTGTCTCCATCCCAAACACAGTAAGTAAATAGTATGCATACTCCCAAATCTAGTTCTAATATAATGATATCATTATTTGAATTCATAATATTTTATACATAAGTACTTTTTATTTATGATTATCTCCTCAATACATTTTTAGAGATTCTTTTGATGAGGGGCCATCAAAAAGAACAAGGCGGGGACGAAGTCTGGTCTGTGGCCGACGCAGGCAGCACAGCAGCAGCAGTGGTGGTCCTGATGCTGCTGGTGATGCTCCTGCATGTCATTCACCACAACTGCAGAAGGCCTGGAAGACAGAGGCAGACCCTGACCCTCATCCAACAAGTACATGGGAGGGGTGAACACTTCTGACCAGATGTTGGGCACCAACTCTGTCCACAGGAAGACCAGAAGATGGCCCATGACTGTGTTTCAACACCTTGTGGATACAGCTGCAACAAACAGCTATATCCTCCACAAAGAAATCAGTGTGACACAGAAGAGGAAGCTCATGACACACCAGGCTTTCCAGGAGAAGCTGTGTGCCGAGCTGCTTGGTGTGCCACTCAATCCACCACCCAAGCCCCCCACACCCCCCACCCAAGGCTGCTTTCCTGCCCCACCAGCAGAGGGCAGTCAGTGGAGAAAAGGCAGAGAGACAGCCAGGGGAGAAAACACTGCACTCCCTGGAAGTGTGAAGAGTGTAGAGTTGTACTCTGCCTTCAATTAGATAGGAATTGCTACAGGGAGTTTCATTCCTAAAAAACGCCTGGTTATTAGTAGACTTTTTCAAGCAGTAACAGGTGAAAAGAAGGTTCCAGGAAAACAAAACTGCTTCAGAATCTTTGGACCTGTACATCTTCAGTGTTAACAAATACAAAACCTCCAACAAAATCAGCTCCGTTTTTTATTTTTGTTGTTATTTCACACAGTTTAACTATATTTAACATGTTAAAAATGTAAAATACTTGAGAGATTTTGAAAGTTTAACTTATCTTGAGAAAAGGGGCAAAAGATTTCACACAAAAGACACTTTTTGACACATTTACAGCTAAAAAAAAGAGAATAATGACCAGGCGGACTGTTAATATTACAGCTTAAAAGGGTTAAAAGGGGAGCCCTCCTTGTGTTGGAACAGTCCATCTAATAGGGGGTGTCACCTCCTAAAACTGTATCACAATCACGCAGGTGTTAGCGGTGACCACTACCTGTCACCCCCTCCCATACTCACCTTTTGATTCGATCCAGTCACGTGATATTAGCCCACAGGTAGCGCGGGAAATACAAAAAGAGAAGAGAAGAGTAGAGGAAGGGGAAACGCCATGTAATGAAAACAAACAAACAAACAAACAAACATCAGAAACACAGAGACAGAAATGTTCTAGCTGAAGCTTTGAAACATAAAGTGGATATGTGAACATTTAATATAACATTATGACGGTTGTGTGGGGCGAGCTGCCACGGAGTCAGCCAACCGAACCGAACCCGAACAAGGCCGAACACGGAGAAGATGTTCACAGTTTGGAGAGACGGAGACTTGGAAGGAGAGCAAAAAGAGGCCGAAAACCCGGTATGTAGTTAATGTTTTATCGACAATAGTGCTCATACACGAATGTTTTGTAAACGGACTGTTGCTGTTTTGGTGATTTTGATGTGAAACTGTGAATCCTGTGTTAAAATACATGTGGTCTGCTGCCACCTAGCGGTTGCTCTTCTGTCATTACATAGAAAGTGTCTGAAAACAGGCAGTATGTGGCCCTTTTTCACTCTTTTGCTGCTAATTGAGTTTGTTTTTAATAGCAGTTTGTTTTTTGTGTGTGTTTTAATGACTTCCCTGTTGAAGTCCTTGTAAAATCCGGGTTTTAGTAACTCCCTTTAGGCCAGCGTTTCTCAAAGTGTGTGGCCCGCCCCCCTAGGGGGGCGCGGAGCCATCCCTGGGGGGGCGCGAGTCACCCGGCTACAAAAAGGTTGGTGTGCACCCGCGATAGCGCGGCACCTCCTGTGCAGGCACCGCACTCGTCACGCATGCGCCATACTGAACTCGCCACACCAGTAGGGGGAGTCCAGCGCCCTAAACCCTGTTTCTTTATTTTACCGTGAAGAAGCAGCGTTTGTTGTGGTGGACGCTCAAGGCGAGATACTTGTCAGGTGTTCTGCCGTAGAATGCACCCCTGCCGTAAAATGCCCCCCCCGACGGGAGCGCGGTTGAAAGTACTTAACAAGGCGAAAATAATTCAAGTTTTCCTTACCATTGGATGAATTTAAAAGCGTCTGCCTTTAATACTCTCATTCAGGCTATTCAGATAAGCCGAAAAAATGATGATTGTTTCTGATTTGGAATATTTGCTGTCCCGAAAATATAACGTTCGCTAGCCTGACAGCTTACTGTACAGTTTATATACCCAAGCACACCGCCGTATGTGCATTTTTGAGACACATAAAAACAGAACGAAAGTTGTCACGATCAAATACTCGTGTGTTTTTAAAATATGAGATCGTTTTCTTCCACTTTAAGAAGTTAACAAGTGGAGGGGATGCAGGGGGTGCATCTACGGCAGGGGTGCATTCTATGGCATAACACCTGTTAAGGATGCTGCTATCCCCACCTGTACAATGTCCTCCTGAAAGCGTACAAAGACGCTTTCTGCTGTGCTAATTCATGGTGGGAACTAGCTCAGAACCAGGGCGGAGATAACCACCGACGCCGTGCTATGCCAGCAGCTGCTCCGCTCCTCTCGCTGTGGAGAGCCCCGAGAGGAGCTGAAGCTGCTCCGTTTCGCGTTGTGCAGAGTCCGTGCCGCGGAAGCAATGTTTGGACGTCGGAATTTTTTTAGCGGCGGACAACCCACGCTTTCACCTGTCACCGTAACAACCAGCAACTGTGTTCAGATCAGAATAATAAATTGTATATAAAAGTACAGAATGGAGAGATGTTTGACAGGGATGAAAAGAAAAGCTGAAGCCAGCAATACAGCATGCCTAGATGATGGTAGGCCAAACCAACAAAAAGCCAAGTCAAGGAAATATGATGAAGCTATCTTACTAACTTGCTCTTAGATTCACAGGATTTTTTGTACTTACTCAACTTGATATTGTTTGATTATTATTGTTCTTGCAACATAATAATAATAATAATAATAATAACAATAGATTTTATTTGTAACACACTTTACATTTGAAAACAAATCTCAAAGTGCACAACAAGACAACAATAACAGTAAAATCAAGCAACAGGGCAAAACAATAAAAACAGTCAGCAGATAAAATCAGATAAAATAAGTCCGGGTAGGCTTTCCGAAAGAGGAAGGTTTTGAGTCCTTTTTTAAAAGCACCCACCGACTGTGGAGCCCTGAGGTGGTCGGGGAGGGCTCCATAGACGAGGAGCAGCGGCCTCAAAGGCTGCACGTTTGTTTTCTAGTTTTGAGAAATACAGCAGAAGGAATGGTATGTCAGTAAAGTTATACATGGCCTATTTTGTCACAATTTTGTTGGGGTAGGGGGGAATGACATTTTTTCTTCCTCCAAAGGGGGGAATGACAAAAAAAGTTTGAGAACCACTGCTTTAGGCCTGTCAGACAAAGGGCACAGCTTCACCATATCTCGCTCATGCAGCTTTAGACTCTATTATGAGGGTTGATCATGTGTAGCTTGTAAAAACACTTTATCTGAGTAACCAGGAATGTCACTGACCTATGAACCCTGCCTTTGGGATCATATAAACACTAATAATGATTATACGGCCTCATAAATGGAGGACAGACTGCGGCTTCTGTGTGGAGCGGGTCACTCACGTGGTGCTGGGGGAACTCTAACCTCCATTTGTTGCCATTAAAGAACAACTAGTTTCATAGTTTCACATGTGCGGCAAATGTGGTCATGTGACCTCGGCTTTTAAAGAGCACAAACTGTCTTCTGTTAAGATTTAATAAAGATTAGATTGTTTTCCTGTCAAAATAACATCTTAAGATTGTGAGTGGGTTTAATTTATAACGTCATGCCTTTCAAACATCAAATCAGCATTTTTAAAATCAATTTATTTTTATGCCTCATGTATATATACACAAACTAGCCGGCAGGAACAGGAGAGAGTCAGCTCCAGACTTTATTGTGGTCTTAAAATGAAGATACTCTATATTCTGGCTTGAATCTGTACAGTTTTATTGTTGCTTTGACTAAACAAACCTGACTCTAACAGCTCTGATCATCTCCTTAAATCAGACAAGCCTTATCCTACTTTCTATTCTTAGCTATATCTGCACTTTTACCCAATCAGATCTTTGCATTTTCTTGCCTTAGACCTGATATTGTCCTGTTTTTTGATGCTTCTCTATAAGACTCAGTGTAAATCTGCAGGTTCGCTCCTGCAGTGAGATGGCATGTGATGAGCAAACTATTTTGGCTTAATGAGAGAAAGGGTCAGTAAGTCAATGACAGGTTAGTGGAACAACTCCACTACTCTCTAACCTCACACACCAAAGTCCGAGTGATTAGCAGGCTCGGAGATATGCGTGTGCACACTCCGGAAGATCGCACTCAGTGTCTCATCTCCTGCGCTCTCTGAAGACTCATGGCCAACGAGAAGATGGAGATGAGTGAAGTCGGGGTGACTCTCGTGTCTTCAGAGGTCAAGCCGCCTCCAGCCAGACCTCCGAATAAATTTGAGAGGGTGTTTCAGCCGTGTTTGGGCGAGCTGGTGGGGACGACTTTCTTTGTGTTTATCGGATGCGTGTCGGTGATAGAGAATGTGGAGTCTACAGGGAGGCTTCAGCCGGCACTGGTTCATGGACTGGCTATCGCTGCTCTGGTGGCGTGCATGGCTGAGATCAGGTGAGGATATTTCCTGTTTGATTGAAAGCGTTACCTTTCTGCTTGTGTTATCTCTAAAAGATTTTTCTCTGTTTCTCCCTGCAGTGGTTCTCATTTCAACCCTACTTTCACCTTGGCTATATATCTGTGTGGAGGGATGGAGATGAACATGGTGGCCCCGTATGTTGCATGCCAGCTGCTTGGAGGGGTTCTTGGAGCTGCTATGGCAAAAGTAAGTTTTTTTTTTTTGTCTTGGAAAATTAACATTTATTTTCAGACCGTCTCCAGCTGACCCCTTTGACGCCAACAGGCGATGACTTTGAGGGAGAGCTTCACCAGAGTCCACGGTGCTGCGTTCGCCGTGCTGCAGCCAGACGCTGAAATTGGAGGCGCCCTTTTTGGCGAGGTGGCCATGACCTGCCTGATCACCACAGTGTTGCTGCTCGGGGCTTTCAACGTCAAAACAAAAAATCCCATGGTGCCATTCATGGTGGGCTGCACTGTTATATTCACCATCTTGGCAGGGTGAGTACAGAGAGGAAGTGTGCAATAATTAGCAAAGATGCACTTGTGGTTTTTGAAGGTAGTAAATTTTATTCCAAAATATCTCAATTTTACATCATTGTCATACTTTCATGCACCGATAATTGCAAACTCATTGTGTTATCTCATCATATCCGTCTTATACTTCAGTGGAGATGTTTCTGGCACTTGTATGAACCCAGCCAGAGCCTTCGGTCCAGCGGTTGTGAGTAACTACTGGACTCATCATTGGCTGTACTGGGTGGGTCCCATCGTGGGTGGCCTAATAGCAGCTATACTGGTTCGGTGGGTGCAACAGAAATTTATATTTAAGGTTTTGACTTGTCCTTCTTCAAACCTGACTAACTTTATTGAATTTCTGTCTTCTGTTTTCTCTCTTTTTTTTTGCAGGCTCCTCCTTGGAGACAGAAAGATGCGATTAATTCTAAAATAAGATCTTGTGTATTTGCATTTGTATGTGTCCGTCTCTTACTTAAATCAGATGTATTTTTCTCATTATTATAGTTTTTTTTACATGTCAAAGGCACATATGTTGTATGTTGAGAGTGTAATATAACGCCTGGCTTAAAGGTTACTTTAATATGATACCGAACCTGCTACACATGAAGTTAAAGTCAAACAGAGTTGTTAAAGATTAGTGAAATAAGTCACCTTATTTCTCCCTGAAAATGAGAGAATAAACAGAGGATTGAGACAATCTGGAGTTGTGTGTGTGTGTGTGTGTATTTGGATAAACATCAGTTTCTTGTCTGCACCGCTCTCTTTGGAAGAATCAGCAAGAATTTAGTTGCAGCTCAGATAACGTTTTAAAACTCAGACGTAAATCAAGACTAGAAACGTTAGATTTTTCCGTCAACAACATTGTGGTTAGTCATTTTGAAGATGTCATCTCCTCAAGAAATCTGCATTTTTCTTTACTGCATATGCAAAACAATGTTAATGAAATAACTTGCTCTGACTTTGACTCTGTAATTAGATTTTCTGACAAACTCAGAGCCAGACAATCTTTGTTTTTTGTCGCTGCGTTGTCTTAAGTTATTGCATTAGATGAAATAAAGACTAAAAAGGAGTTCGCAGGCAGGTGCAGCAGGTGCACGAGTGTCTACATGTGAAAGTAGAAAAAGCTCTACCTCACTGCCTTTTAAAGTGAGAGGCACATTTATAAAAGAGTTGGAGCCCAAATTCAATCACTTCAGACTTCCTAACACAAATGCTGCACATTTGTAAAAGGAGACCAAATGGCAACCTTTTCAAATCCAGGAGACATCTCCGCTCCAGCTTTGTGTCGCCGCTACCCTGTGCCTGCTCTCTAAAGCCAGAGCGCTGAATGCCTGCTCGGCACTGGAGGGTATCATGCTGTTTCCATATTGTACCCCCGGGCCTCCCCACAGCAGTGGCCCACATGGGAAAGCAGGCCAGGCGGTGGGATAAACCAATTACCCCCCAGTCTGGGTGGACTCCTGCCGGTGCACCACGCAGCGGCTCCGGGGCCAAGCCCTCCTGGGTTCGTTCCCCATGAGAGCCTGCTGGAATTCCCAGAGATGGGGATTGTGTGCTCTCAAAAGCCTGCAGAGAGGTGATATTTCGCTTGGAAATTTGACATGGTCGCCTCCTGGGACGATACTGAGGGAGGAGAGTTCAAACTGGGCTTCTGTTGGCCGAGGAAAGTTAGTGGAGAAAGTGACATTTATCAAAATAAAATCCCGGCTTTCCAACTCTAAACATGTCTCACAAAGATTTCAGACTATTTACTTTTGGAATTATGAATCTTTCTCTGTCGGTGCAGGAAGTATTATCTCTAAACTTATAACATATCTTTAAAAAAAGCAGAAAATGTGCTGAAACCAACATTATAAAGGGAAGATAAAGGTTTCCAGTTACCTCTGAATGGCTCTTGATGGTTTAATGTAGATTCACACCTGCATATAAAGAGGAGTAAACCTGAAAAATAAGAGCACAGAGTAGAAAACTGCAGAGTAGAACCCGAGCTCGCCTCTCCTCTCGGCTCTGGGATTCATGAGACCTGATGGTTTCTAGATGGCAGCAGCCGTGACAATGGTCATTATGTCTGCCAGGGGCCTTGTCTCTGCAGGGCCTTTGTCTGGGCCCCATTCAGCACACAGTCATTTACACTTTCATTGGCAGCTATTTAGTTCTCATAAAAAGTTCAACACACCAATTTGTGAGCGCTGCTCAGCCAAGAAGAAGCGCAGAATAGGCGAAGAAAGCAGTTTCTTTAAAAGTCAATTAATTGTTCTCCTCCTCTGGGAGGAGCCGAGGGGGAGGATCCCGGAGCTTTGGGGGCCTCACATCTGTCCATTTGTCTTCCTGGACTGTGATGCAGGGGCCACACCACGCTAAAGAAAAGTCTGATTCAGAGATTTCCCAGTTTGGGAGATTTGGCATTTCATTTAATGGTAGAGCTGTCCTATTATCATAAGACCCCGGTAAAGATGGAGCAGAGATGAAATCAGCTTGTAAGACACTTGAGACTTAAATCCCTTCCTCCTAAAAACCAGAGATTATGCAGCATATGACGGGAAATGAGGGTCTAAGTTCATTTATGCTTTTACCACTCTGCATTTTAAAGAGAGCGAAGGGAGGATCTCATGAAATTCAGATTTTTATGCACTGTTTATGAGCTCTGCCCACTTCATCGCAAAGCTACATGAACTGACTCGTCCCCATTTAAATCGAAATTTAACTCACCAACAGTATATTATCACTAAAACACACAATAAATGCTAATCACCGAACTGTAAGCTGGTTATTTGCATTTGGAGTAAATCTTTATTTTGATAATTAAAGCCTAATGTTTAAAATGTAAGGCTCAGAGAAATAGTCACAAATAATTAGTATTAAGATGTTGTGTCTCACTGGTGCAATGTTATTATTTCTGATCAGTATATGGCCAAACTCTTAAACACACCGTCTCTGAGGAGAAGTCTTATAATGAGTTAACCCAATAATAGATAAGATTTTATAAGGTTTAGTTATTGTTTTATCACGGTTCGAAATTCAACAAATTGGGACATCAGCTGATCACTTTGAATTCCACAAAATAACGTCTTTATTTACGTCCACAACAAATGCAAGAACCACTGTTTAACAGTCAGTATACACAGTAGGGGTGGGAGAAAAAATCGATACAGCATCGTATCGTGATATTTATCTGGTGATATATCGTATCGTCTCATTTACCAAGTACTGATTTTTTTTAATTTATTGCTAATATGAAGTAAAATCTATGATGATGGAAAATATGGAAATGTGTATATATATATATATATGTATATACATATATATAAGGTTAGAAAGATGTGCTACATGAAAATAAAATACAGTGTAAATAAGACAAACATAAAGGAAAGACACATGCTGAATTAGCTAAACAGTTGAAAAACTTGTATAAATCGAGATATATTGTATCACCATACTCACTGTATTGCAAAATGTTGGGAATCGCAATAATATCGTGTTGTGGCCAAGGTATCGTGATTATATTGCATCGTGGCCCAAATGTCTGGAAAAATCGTATTGTGACCCATATATTGTGATAATTTCATATTGTGATAATTTCGTATCGTGACCCAAGTATCGTGATAATATTGTATCATTGTATCAAAAACCTGGATTATCATGTTAGTCTGGATAAACCTAGATGTGTCAAAAAAATCCAACCATGTGAGTTTCATTTGGCTCTAAGTTAGTTTTTTGGAAGTCTAGATATTGGCAATGGATTGTTTTTCTAATATCTGCGCCTAACCTGGTTCCTGAGCTCGCCAAAGTGGTCTGGCGGTGATCTAGGTAGTAGACAAAACCTCGAAGGAGAAGAAGAAGAGTTGTAAAGTTGTCCATGTTTTCACCTTTCAGTATAAAGCCACTTCACCTCTTGCTAATTTGTTTTGGTATTTGACGTAAAAGGTCAACTGATAGAAACCAAACAAGTAAGCATTATTGAATAATTTTATCACGAGCTCAGTGAAGTCTTTGGTAGATTTATTTGGAAAAACAAACCCAATAACCGAGAAGTAAAAGACATTTAAGTTTACAGACATATAAATATAGACAAAGCAAAGATCTGAAACCTTCACAAAGACTCAGAATAAAAGCTTCACGATTATTTATTTACAAGGTTATTCACTCGGACAAACTCCCTCCTGGGTTCAAAGTTCACTTCTCCCACAGAGGCAGCAAAGTGAGCGACGCTTAATGTGGGGAGAAGCACAAAGAGGGAGCAGAAACCCAACCCTTCCCTAGTCTCCCAGGACGGAGGACGGCGAGGGGGGGAGACAAAAGCCGGTCCTCAATGAGCCTGAGTGCAGGAGGCCCCCGCTGTTTGCCCCGCTCTGCCCCCCTAAAACTGTCTTTCACCGGCGATTCAAAAACCGTGTCCCTGCTGGTGATGCTGGATGCCACCTTGCTGGCACATGACAGTATCAGAGGGATCCCACGGTGCCAGCGCCAGGGTGGATCCACACTTCCTCAGTTCAAAGGGAAGTCACAAGAATTCTGACGCGCTGCCCAGGCGGTCTGATACACGGACAGGAAGTCTTTGAATCGTGGGGCACACCCTAACCAAGCTTCCCCAAAGTGTTCTGACCCTGTGAAGAGGAACTCCCCGTCCCCGGGCTTTACGTGGCACTGCAGGCGTGTGTGGATGTGTCCACGCCATGTCGGGACTGATGCGGATGATCCAGAGTCAGGCAGTTCTTGCTCAAACACTCCACTACGCTGCCGGTACACCCGCGCCGCCGAGACCTCCACCAGGGATGTCTGACGCTCAGAGTCGTGGGTGACGCTCTTGATGGAGCCTCGAAGCACTAAAAAAAAACAAACAAGGAACTTTAACTCATGGAGAGAAAACTCATGATGATCATGGAGAGCACACACAGAAAAATGATGGGTTGTTTTTTCAACCCAACTACCAGGTTGAGCCTGTTGGTCAATTTATTTGCATTATTTTCATGGAGTTGGGTATTCTGAGTACCCAGTTTGCAAGGTTATTTATGTTGGGAACAGAGTTATTAGCTGTTAGTTTTGTTGGTTTGTTGTGGACTACCCAACACAGTGGGTTAGCTGTTGTGTGGTGTGGTCAGAAATGTTGAACTACTGCTTTAATGGACTCTCTGTCTTGATGTCTCAGGTTGATATGAACCAACGATGGATGACTTTTGTTAAGGGGCGGCAGTAACTCAGGAGTTAGAGCGGTCGTCCAATAACCGGAAGGTTCACTTTAAAAACTCTTGGTTATTTCTTCAACCCAATTCCTGGGTTATACGTGTTGAGTTGAATTTCTGGGTAATTTTTCAGATCAATAGCCATTTCTTGAGTTATATGGATTCTATTGTAACCCAATTTGAGGGTTTTTTGAATGGATTAATAATTATGGGTTATTTTTTTGAGAGTAACCTAATAAATGTTGGGTGACTGGGGTAGCTCAGCGGGTAGAGCGTCTGGGTCCAAACTAGGAGGTTGGGGTTTAAATCCCACATGAGACACATCTGTAAGGAGCGGACGTCATCTACCAGTGTGGGTCCTTAGGCAAGACCCTTAGCGCTATGGCCTACAATCGGTTAGATGAAAGTACATGGAAAAATAAGGTATAGGTTGCAAAAGCATATAGCTCCACAAATGCATATATCAATTTAACCCAAGATCATGAGTCAAATTAACTCAAACATTGGGTTAACTTGACCCTTAAAAAGGGTTATTGAGTCAACCCAAAATATGGGTTAATTTGAATAACCCAACATTCTGGGTCAAAAGAACCCAATAAATAGTCGGTCCCTTTTTAACCCTGGTATTGGGGTTTTAAGAGTGTTGGCAGTTTGATTTCCCCCTATCCCAAGTCTGTCTGTTGTGTCCTTGGGTAAGACACTTAACCCGCCTTGCTCCCAGTGTGTGTTCTCCACTGGTGTATGATTGTGAGTGTTGTGTGGTGGTGGTCGGAGAGGCCATAGACCTAAATATTAACAACCCAACATGCTGGGTTTAAAGTACCCAGCTTAGTAGTTATTGTGAACCCTTAGTTGGGTTATATGAACAACCCAATTGTTGGGTTAAGTGAACCAACCCTATTAGTTGAGTAAAATTAACTCAGCATACGTTCTGTCCAATATTTAACCAGTGCTGGGTTGGGAAACTACCCAAATTGGGTTGTTTTTTACCCAACTTTTTTAAGAGTGCAGGATCATGCACAATGTACTCACCGAAGTCACTGCTGCAGACGGCCATGAGGAGCTCTGAATCATTGCAGGGTTGGCAGGAATCTGTAAGAAGAGAAGAAGAAGTTTTTTGGCGCACATATCAGAGACATTTATGATGCATTGGTCCTAAATTCCAGTCGCTCTGTGATTGACACCTTCTCCTCCCCAAACCGCCGACCTAAAATCTGTCTCCATTCACGTCCAAGAGTGAAGAAACCAGGACTGAGAAGGAGGAATGCCGCTCCTTTAAGTCTTCTACCCACCACATCAAACGGCCTCTCACTCATCTTGACCTCTGTGTTTGACTCCTATTGTATCCACCTAATTGAGTGACCCCCGTGCCAACGCTGTGGACTGCAGGAGTCAAATTCTTCTGCCGAACTGGCAATGCCGAAACGATGAACCAGCAGATGTCTATTATGGACCCGGAGTGACAGAGAGAGGCCCGCACACATGGATAAATGCTAATAAACAGACATGCACAATGAGAAGGCATGTGTGGAATCTCTGAAGTATTTGCAGACTTGATTCAGACCCCTCGGCCCGGTGCCCTCAAGCCACCCTGAGGTCTGCTCTGCTCTCGCTGCTTTGTCCCCCCCGATGGAAACCAGACATCCAGACAAAACACAAGACTGACCAGCAGCTGCATGCTCCACTCAGCACGACCACTGTCAGTAATTAACCAACCGCTGATTTTTTCAGGAATTAGGACAGACCGCTCCTTTTGATTTCAATTACACAACATGTGACTCTTAAATTATATGTGAAATTTTGATGCCAAGTTTTTAATAAGGGCACTTTTATGAAGGTTTTTAAAGCTACAGTCAGGAACTTTTAGTTTGTTTCAATCTCAGTGTTTAGGATTTTACGTCTTTTGCAGAGAAATGATCAGATTTAAAGGGATATTCCCAAATTAGACCCTAAATTAGTTTTACGCTAGAATATCCCTTTAAGCTTCACAGTCATCACTTGAAGCTGATCTGTTGCAGCTCTCTAGTCTTTCTGTTTGCAATTTCACTATAGCATCATTAAAATCAATAAAAATCAAAACCCAATCGGCTCTTTATCCAAGATTTTCAAGGCCCAGGATCAGAGTACTCCAGGGATCTGGTTACAAGTTCGTTTGCGCCCAAAAACAAAAGAGCAGGATCGAGTGTGAAGCTGTTTCTTATCTCAAAACAACAAAGATTAGTTGTAATCCTCTGGCAAATCTTTTAAACACGGCTTTTAAAATTTAACTAAAGACCTTAAATGAACTCTAGATACTTCATCTGTGACCTGCTCAAGAAGTTCACCTTTAAATCTGACATGGAGGAAACTCTTTAATGTAAAAACGGTTGATCTTAGTTTTCTATGTTTGTGTCAAGAGTCTCCAAGCTGAGCTGGGGAGTTTATTCGGTATATCTCCAACTGTGCATGTATATCTGAGTCATTGTTGTAAATCTGAAGGCCTATTTCAAGGTGTGTAGTGAGTCCTTAATCACAAACTAAAAAAGGGTGGGCCCCAAAACAGCTCCATGGGGGATTCCAAGAGTAAATTAAATACTTTTTCATCATCTGTGTCTTAGAAATGTCCCATTCAGTGTTTTTCTTTACAGTTCATGTTCTTACTTAGTGACTGATACAGATAATCTCTGCAAATGCATCAAAAATATTCACATTATGGTCTAAAAACGCTGATTTTTTACATTTTTTAAGATTCTGGCATCACACTCTGAACGAGCTCCATCTTTTATTCTTATTCAAGATAATGTTCCTGAAAACAGCTGATTTCTGTGGCTAATAAACTGTCATATCCATCCATGTCACAGGTTCACCAGATGTCTGACTGAGGGGCCTCCAGTGGAACCCGGTCTACTCACCCTGAAGCCCACCCAGGCCCAGATTGTCCGCAGCGCTCCTGTTCCCCAGCAGCTCGTATCTGAAGCCTATAGTACGTCTGCTCCAGGCTCCATCGACCCCCGGGCTAGACTGGAGGTAGATAGCGGGCCTGCGAGGACCGTCCGCCCGGAAACAGAACACCTGCTGCCGCTCAGGCCGCCCGGCGTCCGGGACCAGCAGCTCCAGCTCCCCGGAGCGCTCGATGAAGACGCTGGCTCCGCGGAAGGAGGGCGACGGTTTGATGCAGGCGGTGGTGCGCCGGGCGGAGGACAAGTTGGGCTCCAGGACCACCCGGAGAGCCTGACCCGGGTAAACCCACCGCACCGAGCCCTCTGTGCAGCGCAGGCGCACCTGGAGGACGATTCTGGAGTCCACGTCCGCTGCGAACCCGCTGAGAAAACAGAGGTGGGCCTGTTACCGATGTATGCAAATACACTCTTTAAGGATTCCTCTGGATGTTTCATTATGTTTAAATTAATTTACCAATTTATGAGCTAATTTATATCATTGATCAGCAGGATCAGGAGGTAGAAGATATGATAAGCTAAGTTTTGGCTTTTATTGGGTTATTTCATATAGGCCTTTCTGCAAAAAAGCAACACAAATCTGCGGGTATAGAGGCTGATTATCTGCATCGAATATTTTCTTTAATCTACTCTGGATTTTTGAGGCTTTAAAGGTCCAATTTGTCAAAGTTTTTGCAAGTCTGTAGCTTCCTATTTTTCAAAATTCAGATTAGATCCTGTTGAGATTAAGAATAGGTAATCCTCTGTGACTGAAAAACAAACAAAAATCACTTAAAGCATTATTTCAAAGTGACCAATCAGCCCGCATCTCTGTGCATTTGAATTATCTCTACTTTGGCATGAAATAGCCTGATTCTGAAGTTCCTCACCTCCCGCTCCAGTTGCAAAGATCAGCTGCACAGATCCTCAGCAGCATGAACATCAAAATAATCACACCCGCCAACATTTCATCCACGAAAACACTGAACACGCAGAGAGGAGAGGACAGCAGCGGTGCATGGCTGAGAGTTAGTCTGAGTAAGAGTGCGAGTGTGCGGGGGAGCGCTCTGCTGCACACTTTAATGCACCTCTCTCTCTCTCTCTCTCTCTCTCTCTCTCTCTCTCTCTCTCTCTCTCTCTCTCTCTCTCACTCTCTCTCTCCCCGTCTGTTAACATCAGTTACTCTGCGCGTACTTGGTTAACTGAGGTTCAAACCTGTTTTATTCTTGTGTTCATGAAATAGCATGACAGAAATTCAAAATGCAAATAAAAAAACTGACACTCAGTCCTTTAAAAAATATTAATTACATCTTTATTTGTTAAGATTATCAGAAGTGGAAGTAAACTAATATCCTCTGAGGTTACTGCTACCGAGAGACTTTGTAGTCGTTTTAAAAAATCATAATTTGACGTTTTTTTCTGGTGGAGAGTCCTGGACTCTGACTCAGTTTTACTCAGAATCAGTAACTAGAAAAAAAAGGTTTTAATCAGCTGCATGAGTAGTTGGATGATGCCCACACTTCGACAAACTCGAGTGGATTAGTCTCATTTCAAGTCAAAATACCCCATCATGCTTCATTTGACCCACCAAATCTGGTTTCAAAGTACTTGGAGCCAAATTTTCCTCGATAAGCTCTTTGAAATATCTGAAGTTCTTAATCTGATTTCAAAAGCACGTATTATGAAATGTTGGCACACTGCATTTAAACTCAAACATTCTCCTTTTGGCGCATAAAAATAAACCTCAGCCAAAAGCTGTGCGTCTAGAAGTTGCTGCAGAAGATACTTAAAAACTCCACTATGGATTTTCTCAGAGTCAAATCATCTTAAACGTAAATGCAGTTGGTTATGTTCGGGTAAATACACAATAAATGAGACGTACCTTATTAGCCAAGGGTTAAAAGTTGTACTCGGAACATCCTCTGTGCGTAAAATTTAATTAAAGTGCGCTTTACTTTTGCTGAAGGAGATAAACAGACTGGTACTTTAGTAGTAGTAGTAGTAATGGTAGTAGTAGTAGTGGTAGTAGTTTATTTGTCCCATAGGGAAATTGAATTGCAGCAGATCACACATTTGGCATTTCATCTAGAACAGAACAGATAAAAAATAAAACAGCAGGTAGAAAACTTCCACACATAATTAACAGTAAAAATAAGTAACATCATCATAATCACACTAACTAACTTCTCAACTTTAACCTGATTAGACCAGCTGAGCAGGTTATAGATGACTAACTATGGTTATTTGGTATTAAGGTATCTAATGGCCTGTGGCACAAAAGACAAGTTTGCTCTGTTTTCAGTAAAATGTCGTTAAAGTCACTTTTCTTCATACATTTGTTTTTTTCCCACCCTACAAATGAAAACATACTCGTCTATTAAACGTGCTTTAGCTCCACCTAGTGGCTGCAGTTGCCCTCAGAGCCCCATCCTCACATCTGGAGGCCAAAACCTGCTCTGCGCCTTCACTCAAACCCCAAACCAGCAGCACCAGCAGCAGGAGCAGCAGCAGGAGCAGCAGCAGGAGCCTGTAACTCAACAGCCTCTTATATTGTACACGGAGCTGGAATGCGTGACCGGCTTTCACCAATGATTAATCCACAGTGGATGTTTCACCTCGCTTTAACCTGCAGGGGTCTTTGTGTACAGAAATAAAAGACCAAACTTGGCACCGTTTCAAGATGTTTGCTTGGTGGCGACATCTTGTGGACTCTGCGGAGAGCAGGAGCAGCTTCTCTCGGCTGATACTCAGGCCCTCAGGCAGAACCGGATCACAGGGTTAAGGTGCTTGATGCCTTTGCGTAAATTACACTCATATGGAGAGTTTTGGCCGGATGTTTTCTCAGCTGCGGGGAGGAAAGTTGCTGCTCAGGTCGATAAATGTGAACAATTTGACGAGTAGAAGAAAGAAATGCTCCTTTTAAGCGTTTAAAGAGCAGAAAATGTTGCATAAAAACGGAGAATGAGTCTAAAAAAACATTTTCAATCTTCCACTAAACGATTTTTCCTTCAAAATACAAACACAGAGAATCGTGCATCTCTTCTCTATTAAACTATTCCTCAAATTCAGATATTATCCTTCAAAAACCTGGACGTGAAATTCGCTGTGAGTCTCCTCCTGTTTAAAATGATGAGCCATGAAGCAGACCGCAGTTTCCTCTCAGGAGTGCCGGACACTCACATTGGGTCCTGTGTCCCAGACGGACAAAGCAAAGTCACATGAATGGAGGCTTTGTGCGTGAAAGAAGTGGCCTCTTATCGGCGCAGTGCAGCCGGGGATCCTTCTCATTCTGTTGGGAGGCCTGAAATGAAGCGAGGTGATGCGGGAATAACGCACTGGAATCACGGCCTCTGCGTGATCTTTGACGCAACAAAACTTAGAGGGAAAAATAATTATACAACTGAGCAAACTCGAGTGGAAACGGGATCACAGTTTGGGAAACACTTTGAAAGTTTTCTCTCATCATGTTGCGTTAAAATTATGAATTAAAATGTAAAATTCTCACGTGAACACCCTCATCATGGTCTCGCTCTCAGGTTGAAGGCCTGACTCGCCCTCTGAGCCCTCTGCGTCCAGTCTGGAGTTCTCATAATCATGAAGATGTTGAGTCAAACCTTACTCAAAGAAGTCCACCAGAGCTTTGCAGTTCTCATCCTCGCGAGGTGTGATTTGTGCGTTTTTTGGCTGCAAAATTACGCACATAGATCCTCAATTAATGCAAGTTTACTGCAGAGATTCTTCAGCTTAAAACGAGGCCCTGGATGTTTGGATGAGTCCATCGGGGTCACGGGAACAAGACGAGGACGTGCAAAAATTTACACCCGGATCTTTTTCTCTTTTTATCCAAATTTGCCACATTTGTATTTTCTTGTTTGTGGTTCTTTTTGTCTCCAAAGGCCACCTCAGAAAAAATCATACAAACCAAAAACTGAACCATGAAGAATTATTTGCAGATTTTGGCCTTTAAATAATTGTTAAACCTTGACAGTAAACAGCTTTTAGTCCAGTCTGTCAGGATTCAGACTAGATTTGGGGACTTTTACGCAGCGCTCTGCTCATTTTTTTATAGTTGTTCTTAAATATGTTTGATTTTTTTCTTGTCTTGGATTAATTATTACGATTACTGGATATTGTGCTACAGACTCAAACATTTTTAATAATTTATTTGAAACATACACAATATGGTTTTTTTTTTTTTTTTTGCGTGTTTAAGACTCGCCCAAAAAGTGTTGTTGCGTATTGGATAAAAAAGACAAAAGGGAAAACTAGGATATTTTTGTCCATGTAGATTCTCAGTCATCCAGGTCATGGTTTTCTTGAAGACTTAAAAAACAGACAACTGGACTGTGTAGACAGTCCAGTTGTCTGTTTTTAAGTCTTCAAGAATAGGATATTTTTGTTTTTGTCTTAAAGGAGGTGAAGTTAAATAAATATGGTTGGACAGTCAGAGGAGAATATTTCTGATGGAGTAAAAGGAGTAAAATTAAAACATCTTTCATGGAGAACAAACCAGACTCTTCACTCTCAGACTCATGTTTATTTGTTTTCAGCAGCCTCTCATATTTCTGTTTTTCTGTACAGGTTTGATAGTAAGATAGAAAAAATAGAGTAATAACGGCGGGTTTGTTAGTGAGCTCCTCCTCCTCCTCCTCATCTCTTTCCCTTGAAGAAACCTTTGTCTGTGCTGCTCTCCCTCACAGTCACGGTCAGAAAGTTCATGGTCACGTCCGTCACGGTCACAGTGTCCAGGTTGGAGAGACTCGGCCTCCAGGACGAGGATGGGGATGGGGAAGGGCGCGCGGGCGGGTCGTAGCTGACCTCTGGCTGTTCCCTAGGCGGACAGCACTCCCTGCTCCCCTGCTGTCTCTGCGGGTCTGCTGAGTGTTTCAGCTTTCTGTGGTGGTGGTGGTGGTGGGGGACAGACCCACCCGTGAAACCAAGAGTCCTGTGCAGTTTCTGACCGCTCGTGCTGAACGCGCGGCTGTAAGACAGTCCCGCGTGCCTCTGCTGCTGCTCGCTGCTGGGTTTGGGCGTGATGGTGGTCTCCTCCTGGAACCTCTTGGTGAGCTGGATGAGGCTGTGGTCGGAGGTCTCCCCTCGGCGGTGGTGATAGTGATGGTGGTGATGGTGATGGTGTAAACGCCGGGACAGTTTAGACAAACCATGTGACCCCTGCTCCTCCTCATCCTCGTGCTCCTGCTGCTGCTGAGGCCTGCTCCGTTTGACATCAGGCTCCTCTGCCTCACCATCATCCTCCTCCTCCTCCTCCTCCTCCTCCTCTACATAACGTAGATGCAGCTTCGGTTTGCGTCCTCTCTTCTTGGGTACCCGGGCCGGTTCTTGGGAAGCTGTCGGAGCCGGTCTGGGCCTCCTCTCCAGCTCCGGGAGCCGCACGTGAACGCTCTCTCCTCTGTTGATGGCGCTCGGTGGGAAGATCGTGGGAACAACCGCGCGTAAACCCTCTCTGGCCCTCGGTGTTATGACGGGCTCCGGGATGGGGTAGGTCACCTGGATCCCTCGTGGGGCCTCTCCTCTGAATTCGTACGTCTTTTCTTTGGCTTTGGCTTTGGCCTGAGGACGGGACAGACCCGGTTAGACCCACTGAACTCTCAAGGCCACGTTTAAAAATGAAGCAAAATTAACAGCGTTTAAAAATCATAAAACGAAAGAGCTTAAAATTGTAGAAAGTCAAACCTCCTGAAAGCCAAAGCTGTACGAGTTTGAGTCACTTTTAAAAACACACTTTCGAGATGAGTGTAGGAAATTATTCATCACTCTCAAAACCAGAAATGCGCATGCAAATAATTTTACCCACCTTCAAGAGAAACGTCTCGGGTTTAGGTCCCCTCTTCTTGGGTCCGAACAGCTCTCTTTCGCGCTCCCTTCAGAACAAAAAAATCCGTTTTAGATCCATCACAAAGATTTGTTTTTGGTTCATCTAGGCGCTTAAATCGACTGAAGTAATTTTAAAAAGGAGAATCCGTGTGAAGGAGTGAGATTTTTTACAGTTTCGTGTTGGTTATAATTAGAAAGAAGTCAAATTAAAGCGAATGAAGTGTCCGGGTGAGTGTGGATGAAAGGAAATGACAACTCTAAGAAATGAAACAACCAAACTTTCGCTCCGTTTACTCTCATGAAAGCTTTCCTCGACACAAACATGACATTCAGAGACTCATTTTTCCACTGAATTTCTACTTAATGGTCACATTTATTTGCGCAGAGCGCGCCGTGCCGTCTCTTTTCTGCACAGAGGCCTACCTCTGCGCTGTCAAACCCTCACCTCTCCTCGAAGGCAGCGAAGAGTCGCGCGTCCAGAATGTTTTCCTCCGGCTCCCAGGTGCTGTACCTGCGACATGACAGCACAGAGGAGAGCTGTTAGCGACCTCGGAGCGCACACAGGCGCCATCTGACACTTTTATCAACTGCAATCTCGCTGTGTGCAGCTGCAATTACAGACTACGTAGCGGACATTGACGCATGGGGAAACCCAGCCATTGCTAAAAGCTAGTGTGGACTTTGGTACGCGCTAACAGGCTGCCGCTCAGACATCAGCGGCTCCGGGTTGGAGTAAAAGAAACAGCAGAAGTCCGTTTTAACAGTGCAAGAAGCAGATATGATTAACAAAACGTCCACAAGCTGGAAAACGACAGAGTGAGGTGGTGGTGCAGTTGTACGAGCGGCCAGGATGGAGCGCTGTCCTTCACAGCCTCGGGTATTTTACTCACTTCTGAGACCAGCCCTTCCATTTCACGAGATATTCCCAGCGACCCTGCAAAACAGATCGGTAACACGTTCAGGTTATCAGAGGGTTTGCCTGTCGGCGCTGCACAAACAAATGGTTGCGTAATAGGTGTGGAGACACAGGCAGAGGCTGAAAAGGCGGCGAATACCCGTCTGATCCGCCGTTTGATGATGGACTCGGCTGCGAAGACGCTCTCGCCGACAGCCGAGAGCTCCATGATTCACCATGCACCCCGCTTATGTCTGTCTCTTTTATTATTTTTGGCTTCCCCGTGTCCTCTTCGGGTTGTTTAATTCCGCACATCCCATAATACGCAATCTGGGGAGGACGTCATCACGTCCTTTTCTGTTGCCAGGCACCGCAGTCGGTAGGACGGATCGCCGTGGTGCACATTGGCTCAGTTGTTGCTACGTGCTCCGGGTTTGTTAGCGGAGGAGGAGGAGTCCGCGCCGCTGCTGCTGCTCTGCTGGCTGCTGTACAGGAATGTCTGGCACAGAGAGAGACAGGCAAAGTCAGGGGCTCCCGGAGCGGATCCACGGACCCCCCTGAGGTCCCCGAGGGGACCAGAGAGTCCACACCGAGAGAGAGAAAAAAAAGGTTGATTTCACCGGGATTAAAAAAATGAACCAATGAGAGGAGAGAGAGAGAGGCTTAACAAAGCTTACATCACCACAAACAGGAGCTTACATAAAACATATACATACCGTGTTAATATCAGGGTTAATGATTATAATTATACATTTAATTCACAGAGAAACCCTCTAAAGTCTAAAGTTGATCAAATCTGAACAAACTGAAAATCAGATTTCTGTCCTTTTAGAGGGAAGAACCGTTCAGAGGAGAGATCCGAGAGTCCAACCGAGTTTCTTTAATTGATCAGTTCTTCTGTTCATTATGAACCTTCATTATTATCCCAGCAGACTCATTATGGAAGAGTTTCAGGGATCATGTCGGTCACTTCAGCTTCACTGGATCTATATTAAAACATGGAGAGCGGGTCAGACGCGCATGAACGTTTTACGCACACGGTGCCAAGAGGAGATCTCCTGAAATCTCATAGAAATCAAGTTTTTAACAAACCGAACCTTAATTTTTTTATTCTGAATCAGTGTTTCGTTTCTTTTGATCATCCCACAGAGACATATTTAACCTTTTAAAAAAAGAGGAAACGAGTCTTTTTCATTTGGATCATTTTTGACGAGAAGATTTAAATATTTTCTTATAATATTAAAAACAAAAGAAAACTCAGATCGGTCCAAACAAACGCTTTAATTTAAGTCAGACTGTTAGAAAAAACAAACACGATTTTTGTTCATATATGTTTTGTGGGTTTAATGATAAAATTGAAGTTTTTGGTGAGTTTTCATTTTGGAAAGAGAGAAATAATGAAAATTGATTTTGTGGTTTGGACTTTTTTTCTTTTAGATTTATCAGATTGAACTTTAGTGTGTGGAGTCTTTAAACCTTTAAAATATCAGCATCATAACTGTAGATCTGTCTCCTTTTTATGTCAACAATTTAAACAGTATGAAGATCAATATATCTGAATAACCCAGAGCTGATTTGTCGATGAATCGATTTTAAATCTAATGAACTGATTATTTACCTTTATTTATTTTTGCTTTACTGAAGGAATTTGATCAGTTTGAAACTTCATCCACTGAGGTAAAGAATCATTATTATAATTATCACTATAATGTGTTTTAATTATGAATTTAGTTTCACGTCAACTCTAAAAATTAAACATGAAGCTCTCAGAATTAAATTGGACATCCTGTATTGATTTATTCAGTGAACTGTTAGTATAATCATTTTAATCAGATAATTATATTTCCCCGTCAGTCAGGCCTTTTGGGATTACATTCAACATCTATTCATGAGGATTTTCACTCGTTTATTCCCTCCACATAATTTAATCTCAAACACATTCATCTGTTTCTTTCCTCTGGTTGTAATTTCCTGAAGGCCTCAAGTGAAATTTTCCCCATTCTTCATTTTTCCATTTGAGAAGATAAATACAGATGAAGATGGACGGAAAAATAATTTAAGTCTGAATCTTTACGTGGAGGAAACGTCAGTGCGTCATGTCCACGCAGAGTTCACACCTGCCAACCTTCAGGCCCTCCTCATTCTCCTGTCAGACTGAGCTGAGAGTCAAACCCACCCAGAATTAAAGTGAGTTATTTACACGCTCTTAACTGGATAAAACCAACACAGACAGTCATGAGAAATCAAGATTTCAGCTCCTTCTTTCTGTCTTATTATCCGGTTTAAGGTCAATTTAAACTGAGCCAACACTTTACGCGCAGCAGGGTCTTTATTCATGATAAGAAAGTTTTTTGGTTTTTAGTTTCAGCGCCACTTTTCTGCCTCTTAAAGGTTTATTTTAACCGTCTGAGGAGCAAGAACAAATGTGAGGAGCTACTGAGGCGACTCTTCACAGAACAGAGGTGATACCTTAACAGAAAACTTCAATTCATGATAAAAATCAACAACGAATTCTTTAAAAAACTTATTTTATTTGCATGAATGTGTTTCTCCATATTCATCCAGATCTGCTCTCTGTAAGGTGATATCCAACCTGCACAATTTAGACTCGGTCTTCACATCAAATTCCACTCATGAGAGCAAAAATGTGAGCTTTGATTCGTGTTGTAAATATTTGTGAGGTAGATTAGATGTGGGATCGTTTGTGCGTAAAATAAAACGGCAGCAGAGAAGAAAACCAGGAGGTGCTCGGTCCTCCTGAGAGGCGCAGCGGCGTGTCTGAACCCTCGATCCTCTGACAGATTCAGACTTTTCTTCTGACTAATCAGCTGATTTACTCTCTGCTGAGTGTCTGCTGGAAATCTCCCCGATAGAGGAGCAGACAAAGGCGGGCGCGCCGCGGACAAAAGATGCGTTGTGGCTGCCATCGAAATATGAACCACCATTTTGATAGTCATAGCCTGTAGACCGACATTTCCTGTCGGTGCAAGAATGGCTCTGTAGCCCTGCGCGGTTTGTGCTGAGGAGGCAGCAGCTTCACACAGACTCAAGCTGCTGCTGCTGCTGCTGCGGTGGAGGTGGTGGTGGTGGAGTTGGTTCTCCATATTTGGCTGCGAGTCGATGAAAAGTGTGCAAGGAGCCGAAATGGCGTCAGGCGCACATGAATAAACAGAGCTGGCTCTGTGAGAACATTACTGCCTCTCTGGTTTCTGGGCAACTGCTGCAGCTCAGCTCGCTGCGCGCTGTCCTACTTACCGGGCGACATTTTCTGCTCAAGGTGGATCAGGCAGAAAGAAACCTCAAGCGTGAAACTGTGAAGCGGTGTGGTTCCTGACCCACAGCGCCGAAATAGAAATCATCCTGAACCTGCACAGCATCGCCTCTCATCTCTCATTGAACTATTTTAGCTCACGGCTCAGATGTTAAACAGCTTTTATTCAGATAATTATTACAAAAAAGATCAATAATTTTACAGGTTTGAAAAGAAAAACACAATTTAATGTTTTTAAATGAGACGGTTTCGTTTCTTAAACAATGATTTCTGTGGTTTTGTTTAATTGTCTGAGCAGCAGGCCTCCCAGAACCGGGTCACACACACATATAGACACCGGCTCTCCATTAACCAAACGATCCTTTAAGGCTGCACATGTAAGTACCTCTGTGCTGTGATGATAAAGGGGGAATGTGAAACATCACACTTGGTCTATAAATATGTTCCCCTACTCGACGATGTTTCACTTTCCTGCTGACTGACTGACTGACTGACTGACTGACTGACTGAGACGCATAGTTGGTTCAAAGCCACAATGAGAAGGCCTGTGAGTGAGACAGCCTTCATGCAAAGAGATATGTGAGCAGCGTGCGGTTTGACATTCCGCTCCTATCAACTGATATCAACCGAGTTTCACAATTTAGAAAACGCGTCTCTGAGTGGAGGATGTGGACAGCCCGTCCGTGGGACCCCTGCTGCCTAAACATAAAGAAAACAAACTCTTTTGTTGTTCTTGTAACAGTTAATTCTGAGTTAAGAGGTTTCGGTGGGTTTGGGTATTTTACGCACGAAGAAATAAAAGGAGGAAATGTCAGTTTCTGGGCTTTACATGCTGAAAATTGTGAATTAATAATGGTTTAACGGTGCGCCTCAGTGTCCGGACATGTAACCTCCTGATTCCTGACCCCGGGTTTAGGCCTCGTGTTGGTTTTTACGCGCAAAGAAGTTTGTCCTCCAAAAACAGTTATAGATTCTTATTTTCCCCCTATAATTTATCTGCTCGAGCTGGAGTATTTTAAGATTTGGTGACAACGCAGCATGTGCATGAACGCATCAGCGCTTTTCTGCAAAAGAGAGAAGTCCAGTTCCTTTTTTTTTCGTTTTAGGTTTTTCTCTCTCTCTCTGTCCTTATTCTTTGATGGCAAACACACACATTCCCACACTCTAAACACTCAAAAGTATATCTCTATCACAGCCTGAGATTCCAGAATAACTGCAAAACAACTCCTGTCTGCATTTTTAGGATGGCATTCCTGATCCTCCTCCTCCTCCTCCTTCTACAGCCTGAAAGAAGAGGCCTGAGCTGCACTCCTCATGAAAGGTCAGTGTGCAGATTTCGTTCACACAACTTCAGCGAATCAGGAGCTGTCTGTTTGTCCAGAGAGTTGATTTATCCTGCTTAAAAACAGAGTAGGAGGAGTGCTGAGTCACTGTGACACGGCTGGTAGTGTTTTCAGACACTGAAATGACATTACTGATGCAATAGTGCGCACACACACTCTCACACACATTGCCAAAAACTTACCCACCATGACCCCTTGATAAAAATCTAACAATTACATAATCCATCCCTGTTGTGTGTTTACATTCCCCTTCAGGGTCAGAGCTGCACTGGAGAAATAATGCATGTGTAAAGTTTTAATAACACAAGTGGCCAGTTCAGTTATGCAATACAGAGGGCCCTTTGTGCGGGGAGCCTTTCTGATTATGCAACTCGATCTGTTTTGCTATTCATGTTTCACAACCATGTTAGTGTTTCGCGTGTTTATTGTTCCTTTCTTCGCCCTCGTACGAGCACAAAGGCCTCGGATCAACGAGGATTCGTAAATATTTCACTAGAGGAGTGGAAAAACAATGAAAGTCTGCAGAGAAAGAGTGTTTTCTCCAGGAACAGCACGCCCGCTCATTAAATATCAAACGCAACACATGTCAGAGGTCATTTCTGTTTCTTTATTGGTGCGAAACATACCATCCGATGAGCCGATGGATGTCCAACAAACAATCTTTCTAACTTTAACCAAGTGCAAGAAAACAAAAACAAAACAAAGCGAAAAGAAGCAAAGACAGGAAATCACTTTCAGATCCGGAGCAGGAACCTCCACATAATAAATACGCACTCTTCATCTTAATTATCAGCATTTTAGCATTCACACTGGCTTTGCATTAATTGTGCATGGAAGGCAATTTAGACTCAAATGTTACCTTACATCCAACAGCTTTGACATTTCATTTTTCTTCAGCAGCATAATCAGAACAGCTTGCAAACTGATTGGATCGCCAGTAACAGTGTTCACAAGAAAACCAGCTCACATTTAATCTGCATAATTTACTCCATAATGACTCTAGTAGCTTAAGTAAGCGGTAACGTGCGTTTTTGAATCATCGAAATCAAAAACAAAATGAGATGAGGATGGCTAATCTGCATGGCATTAGGAGACTAGCGTGTATTTTCTATACAGACGACAGTAAACAAGGTCGACGGCGTGGTTATAAATCAACCTAATTATGTTAGGAATCGATGAGTAACCCTAACGAGAAGTCACACGTTTGATAGATGACACTATTTTCTTCACGGGGATGGATCTTTAAAGGAAAAGTGTGTCATATTTCATCCCGTAAATGAAACGTGAAATCTAACGACGGATCGGGCTGCGACTGCATGTTCACCGACGGTTTCGATTCATCTCAACGGCGAAAGAAAAAGCGGGGACATTCATCAATCATACAACATTTCTCCCTGCTCTGTCCGACTCGATCAGAAAATAAGACTTCAGAGGAGAGACAGTCGAAACTAAAAACTCCCGGATCACATTATTCATCGTTTTAAAAATCAGTGTTATTGTGTTAACAGTTAATCATCTTTCATTCATGTAAGAACCGAATGTGGCGTTTTAGCCAACGAAATCCTGACATCCACCGATTAATCGATCTTCAACTGTTAGCAGCAAAGAGCTAAAGGCTGTTAGGTAGCATGACCGTATTGTGAATCCCCAAAAAGAGGACGCAGCTATTAGTCGTGCGCAAAATTTTGAGGGTTTTTCGGGTCACACAAACTCAAAACTGCCGTACAAAACCCTGGACATTTCGAGGATTTTATAAACTCCCTCAGACAAGCCCCCAAAAACACGACATATGGTCACGTGTGAACAGGGTCAGAGCTCCTAAAACAGCTTAAATTAGCAGGGTAACAACAGAACGGTGTGTTTGTATATCTTCAGTGTTTCCTCCCGACATTTTCCCTCCAAACTAAAACCACAAAGCAACATGTAAAAATGTAATTTAAGTGCTTTCGACTTGATCTTCGATCACCATATACGCAACAGCTTCCTCTCTATCTTCTATCAGGACCAAAATAAGTGATATTTTAATACAAAATATGTATAAACCTTCATACATCTCAGGTTTTAGGTTTGGTACAGGTATGAAACAACAGATTACGTTTTGAAGTGGAACACATCCACGTGAATGCATTCGCTCAAATCCTCGAGGGCACTTTCTTGGCTACAACGTCACAGAGGAGTTACAGTATAAAACACTTTAAGAAACATATTGAATTTGAATGATAAATTATAAATTTTCACATATACAAAATTCTCATGTTTTTACATATGTACATTATATGTACACATTACATCCGGACGGGATCGTCCGATTGGTCCAAGTTTGCACAAAGTTTCTCAGAAGGAAACGTACTCCTTGAAGGTGACGGTGAGACTGTTCGTGGTGATGTCCGTTATGATGATATTTCCCATAAACGGAGAGAGTTTTTTCGCAGGTGCGTCTTTCGGTTTCTCGGCGGGTTTAGTTGTTTCTTCTATAACAGGCGGCGTGTTTTCCACAACCGGCTCAGGCTCCGGCTGTACATCCGGTTCCACCTGCCTCTTAGTCTTGGGGCAGCTGAGATCCATCGGCTCCTCTTGGCTGCCGGAGTCCAAAACCTCATATGTACGAGCGCCGCTGTGACACCGGGCGCTACAGTGGAGGTCCATAGGTGAGTCCTGAGGCGGCGCGACCACAGTGCCGGGGGCGCTGAAGCTTCTGGAAGTCAGGAAGGTTTTACAAACACTCCTGTCCTCCGTGGTATCTGAAATCTTTCTCTTGCGGTCACTGGGAAAAGAGGGGATCCTGATCTGGTCCACGGCTGTAGGAGACGGGATGTTGGTGTCAACAGCCCAGGATGTCGGCGGCGAGCTTGCGGTCAGCTGAAGGGGAAGATCTTCGGGTAAATCAGCCTGACCTCGAGCTACTTCCGTGTTGTATTCCTCAGCCGTGCTCGGCGAAGGTTTGGAGAAATGTCGGTCCTTCGGGGAACACTTTTTGGGGTGTTCTGCGGCGGGGAGCGGGCTGCCGTTACAGATCTCTTTGGGGATACCGTTCTCCGGGTACTCCACCATTTTGGTCGTGTGCGCTGGATTGTTCTCCGCTGGTTTGGTGTTTTGGGCTTTGTCTTCGCTCGATGATTCCCCGTGTTTACCCTTTGCTCCGTGAACTTTGTTGCTGTCCATGTATTTACTCATGACGATAACAATCCGTCCGTTCTTGTTCTTGTTCTTGATTATCTTCATTTTGCTGCTCACGGAGCTCGGCAGCGTTGCGTCTTTAGGGTTAGGTTTGAGGGCGTGTTCGCTCTCGGCCTCTTTGACCGCTGGTTTCCTCACCTCCACCGCCAGCTCTTTGACTTTACTCAAGCAGCCAGTGTCTTTATCACGAACCCATTTCTGCTGCAAAGCCAGCGGTAAGTTCCAGCCGGGATTCGCAGGTTTGCTCGCCGGTTCCTGAACTTTGACCACCTCTTTGAGCCTGGAGGCCTGAGCGTCGTACATGTTCGGATCAGGCTCGTAGTGGTGGTGCTTCTTGCTGTTGAGCTGGTAGATGAACTTCTTCTTGCCGTTGTGAAGCTGGTCGGCGGGGACCTCCTGGCTGCTCGGCTGGTACTGGTGGTGCTTCTTGCTGTCGAGCTGGTACTGCTGAGGCTGGGAGCGCTGGACTTGGACGGGGTCGGCGTCGGACTTGAGGCCGCCCTCTGGATCCTGAGATGATTCCTCGAAACCAGCCGGGATACTGGACCTTCTGGCAAATGAGGGCACCTTGGAGACAAAAGCAAAGAAGACAAGGTCAAATAGATCGCCGGCTGGTGGATTTAAAATCATTTAAGATCTAGTTTGATTTTAAAAAAGTGTAATGACAACAAATTGAGAAATTTTCGTGTTTTTGGTTAAAAAGTTTGGACGGGGACAACAAGAAGTCATTCAAAAACACCTGAAGGAACAACACCCAACGAATGAAGTTAGCGAGAGCCCGTGTGAGCAAGTAGACAAACCGTTTAAAGATAATGCTTCTTATTATAAAACTGTAAATCTCTGTATAAGAGGGGCTAGTCCTGCATTAAAAAAAGTCAACGCATTGGATCAAAAACACTCCCCAAAAATGGACGTCTGTGAACACAACTGCAGAAACTGATTCCTTCGGTTCCCAAATTGTTGTAAAAGAAGAGTTGATGGTAAAGATCTGCAAACATCATAATCTGTTGAACCAAAGGAGGAGAAATGTCACGGTCTGGGGTAAGATCATGTATTTTACTCTCTCTCTAAGGAGGAAGCCAGTTTCTTAAACTTCGATATCATCAGATTGATCGATTTGGACTTGACTGAGCGGAACCAGAAAGCCTGTTCCTGTGAGTGGAGTATCACACCAAATACAAGATTCGAACCTGCACTCCAAACTGTCCAATCATAGCTCAGTTTATGACCTCCCTCCTCACTGTTCCCGTCCCCTCCCCCTCCTCCTGTACAGGCCTGACCTCTCCGGCTGTCAGGGGGGGGGCACTGCAGCGGAACGCTCAAGACGCTTTGGCTGTGACCTCAGGTCAGCGAAGTGCCACCAGACGTGTCACGCTTTATCCCTGATTGCCGGCCACGTGTGACTCCGGGAGAGCGGTATGCCTCTTAAGGAGTGACACCGCATAGCAAACAGAGCAGAGGCTCCTCAAACGTAAACGCACATTCGGCTCGGAGTCGGACCTAAAAAGGCTTCAGCTGGGACGGTTCAGGGCCGATCTGATTCATGCAGGAAAACACTCTGTCACTCTGAGCCGAAAGCCTCGATCTCAGGAAGCTACTTAGCATACAGAAACAACGAACATGCAGATTAAACGAGCGCGCTCAAGAAACGCTTACGTAACCTCAGGCAACACATGATGAAAGTGAACAGAAATCCAGCTGCAGAACCCCATCCCCTTTTTCTTCCCCTTTGGACTCCACCCCTTTGAAAGAAATCTATAAATATCCGCCGACATAATGACAGCCCTCACAAACACCTGACAGCCCTCTTCCCCCTTTTTCAGCTCCTCGCTGAGTGACACGGACGGATCGGCTCGGAAAAGACGGACAGGATGATAATTACCTGCAGCAGGAGGTGTTTGGGTTTGGGCCCCCGTTTGCGGTACCCCATCAGCTGCTCCTGCCTCTCTCTGTGGAAAAAAAAACAGACGATTACTTTTAAATACAGCATGTTTACCTTCAATTCAACAAACTGTGTCTCTGCTCGAAACGTCACGTGGAAATGTAAGGGTATGACATTTGGAAAACACTCCACTTATTCAAGGTCAAAAGTGGAATCCTGATTTGGAGGACTAATGAATGCCCACATGTGACCTGCTGCAAAGCATCATGGTTCTTATTTGCATAGCTCTCCGTGGTAATCGCCCCATTCCATATTCTCATTATCCCGGAGAAATTCAATTAAGGCTACAGCGGGGAGAAGCTCTCCTTGTCTTTCAAACATGCGCCCTCCTTCAGGATGCCCTTCCTCTCCGTACATTCACTCTCTAATTAGGGTCATGAGGTAAGGATGATGTGGGATAACAAAAACAACAATGCGGGGTACTTCTGGGAAGCATGATGCTGTTTACAACCATCCCGCATTGTGCAACTCGACGGTTGTGATCAGAAAGCGAAGGGCGGTAAATTCTGAGCTAATGTGGAGCATGTTGTTGGAACGAGAAGAGGAGGGAGTGAAGCGTGTTACTGTACTTGTTCTGACTGCAGAGCGAAGCCAGGGGCTGTCGGTGAAATATGGCTGCCTGATATAAACCTTGACTCATCATTGGCTCGTAAATAACCAGCGGCGGGTGAAGGCCGCCTGCGCACAGGCTTCCCCCTGCATGCGTAACAAAAAAAAACCTCTGCTATTGTCGGCCTCTGGCTTCACATGTTCAACCGCCGGAGCTGCCAGAAAATTGCCACAATAAACAGTCTACGTTTTAACGCTGTAATGTGTGCGATTTCAAACGGCGTCCAACGGGGTGACCCCTATTCACAGCAGATTTGGCAATTACAGCCTCCCTCGTCGGATCCCCTCCCCCATCCTCTGGGAGCAGAGAGGAATCCACACACACAGCGCAGAGGCAGCACTCCATGACCATCAGCGGAGAGCCAGGCACACACACACACACACATATACACACACACACACACAGTTAGGCGGGCAGGCAGGCTGAGGGGGAATATGAGAGCGGTGCACTGGAAACGTTGGAGAGCTCCGTGTGTCAATTAGCCTTTTCAGAAATGCGAATTCCTTTCCCCAGCCGTCGTGTCTTTACCGAGTCTCATGAGCGGCCTGATGGCCTTCTGAGAGTGTGTGTCTCACAGGCCTCATGGGTCCTGCAAAGTGCATGTGCCACAGGGCTGGGATGACAGCAGCATTTGTATTCATTAGCATCCCAACCTCTGAGACCCGCATCTATACGTGGCTCATTATTCCACGAAACAAAGTACATTTACTCAAGTACTTCACCTGGGCAGTATTTATTCTGTAAACATATTACTGCGTTTTAAAGACAAATACTGCACTCTTGACTCCACTACGTTACTCTAATGACGTTTTCTCTGAAGCTAGCTGATCAATTCCTCTCTAATATAAGCTCCAGTGTACATCTTTGTGTGGTTTGTCCAAGTGGTGTTGCCGTACTTGTCTTATGCCTATTATCCCCATGGTTGGATATAAAGTAAACAGAGTGAATATCCTTCAAATCAGACGGATCATTTAGTGGTGGTACCAATGTCCAACTTTGAAGCTAATGTCGAGATATGCTGCTAAATATTTGTTCTACCCTCGATGACATTTTACACGTAATTGTTTTTCATTCTGTTGTTGTTTTGGTCATTTAGAGCCGAGGAGACGAAATGAAAACACTTTGAGAAAATGCAAAGTTTTGAAAGCTGTTTTAGTAGTTTCAAAAGCGAGAACTCCACTGACGAAACTCCCTGTATTGATGAGATGAATATAAAGTAAACAGAGTGAATGTCCTTCAAATCAGACGACTCATTAAGTGGTGGTACCAATGACCACATCAGAAGCCAATTTCAAGATATGCTGCTCGAGATATGCTCCTGCTAAATATTCATTCTACCCTAGATCACGTTTTACACTTAATTGCTGTTTTTTGCTCCATTTTGGACAAAACAAATCTGGAAATCTGCAGCATGAGTTAAAAAATGTAAACAGAGCATAAATGAAAACACTTGTGCGTTGAGAAAATGCAATGTTTACATATTTTTAAGACCGAGAACTTCACTCAAGTAACTCCCTGTATTGAAGAGATGGACATAAAGTAAACAGAGTGAATGTCCTTTAAATCAGACGGATCATTTAGTGGTGGAACCAACGTCCACATCTGAAGCCAATGTCGAGATATGCTGCTAAATATTCGTTCTACCCTTGATGACGTTTTACTCTTAATAACTGATTTTCGCTCCATTTTGGACAAGCAAATCTAGAAACCTGCAGCATGAGGTTAAAAAATGTAAACAGAACATAAATGACAACACTCATGCAATGAGAAAATACTACGTTTTTACATTTTTGAAAGCTATTTTAGTAGTTTTAAAAGCGAGAACTCCACTGTAGTCACTCCCTGGAGTATCTCTAGTTGTGTACTAAGCTCCCCTAAAACCACAACAATCCCCAGAGTGAAAACTATCTTTCAGCACCTGCTGCTGCTGCTGCTGCTGTGACTCTGCGGATGCAAAGCAGTTTCACTATTAAACAAATAAGTTTGACCCTGGAGTGAGCCGCAGCCTCTCTGTTTCCACTGGTCCTGGTCATGCAGCCCCTGGCCAAACAAGGCAGCCGATCCAGCAGCTCCCTCTCAGAAACTGGGTCAAACCATGACTTGACCCAAAAATCACGTAATGGGATGAGAATTTGAAACTATTTACGGTTCAAACGCGCAGCCACGAGCATTTTCACGCCTCCAACCCTCCTTTGGCATGACCGGGGACCTCTCACTACCACATCCCCTGCCTGGTCCCCACAGCACAGTCCAGTGGGGGGGGAGAAGGGAGGGGAGGGAGAGGAGGAGGGGGATCAGAGTTACTGGAGCGCCCCTCCTCCCATGCCCTTATATGGTCATGGCTCAACTGGAGGCTGCGCGCGGGCCTCGTCCGAAGTCCACATCTCTCTCACCTGTGTTGAAACGCCACGAGGAGCCGCGGGTCAAGGATGTTTTCCTCGGGCTCCCATGTGTTGTACCTGCGGGGAGGAGCAAACAAGACACCTGTCAGGACCTGGTTCACGCGCAGATTTACGCACAGGCCACACAAACACACAAACACACAAACACCTTTTTTTACGCACAGGTAGAGCACACCTCCACTTTGATGTCAGAGGCAGATTTCCTCTTATTCAGGATGATTTTTTAACGACATAAACACCAAATATAAGTCACATTTCAGAGTGGTGACACGCTCTGTAAGTGTCAAATAAAATATCATCTGTTTTTTCTCCAAATGGTCTTCAAGCACCAACATTACAGTCGGCCATTTTAGCACCACTGTCTCGTAAATTCGCTGGCAGAGCAGAAATAATTAAAACGGGATTACATGGCTGTGCCTTCCCCCCCTTCCCTCGCATAAATTAGTGAAGGCATCCACGGATACACTGGAACACATACCGACCGCGCTCTCCCAGTTTACACACACTCACACAAACACACACCTACACACACTCTCTCTATCGTAAACACACACACACAGTCCGCGCTCTCTCTGCTGATTCAAAGTGCAACACAGAATTTCGCTGCACATGCATGCTCGTATTTCCACATCGCAGAGTTAAAATGTTCTCTTACTTCGGGGACCAGCCTCGCCACTTGACCAGGTACTCTATCTTGCCCTGTGATGGTGAGGAGAGAGAGGAATTCAGTCAGTGAGGAGAATGTCACACGCAATATTTCACCGATCTGAGCGGGTTTTTTTTTCTCTCTTGCATGCATTTCCCCCCCTCTTCTCCCCGTTACCTTGCGGATGCGCTTCTTCTCGATGCCCTCCACCGCAAAGACGTGCTCTCCGGCGGCAGGCAGCTCCATTCTCGCCTGAATCCGAGAGGGGGAGTCGGTGAAATGTTGGCTATACGCACCCGTCGATGTGCTTTCCTGCTCCGTGCGTACACTGTGCGCGCTTGGTAGTTTTCCAGTTGTATCCAAATCCAACTGTATTCCCTCCACCTCTCCTCCTCGCCCGCTCTCACCCTCTCTCTCTCTCTCTCTCTCTCTCTCTCTCTCTTTTTCACACTCCCCGCTCCTCGCTCTGAGCATATAGAGATATTCACAGTAGTGCGGCTCGAGCAGCTCTTCTCGTGCACTAGCTTCAGCTCGGTGCATGACGTCAGGAGGGGAGGGGGGGTGGAGGTGGAGACCTTGCACAGAGGTTGGAGTTTATCCCGTGTGTACTGGACTGCAGGAGGGATGTCTGGAAATTCAAATCTGGACGCTACGTTACTGTCACAGCACGTATGCGTCAAGTCCACTCGTCCTCCTTCAGGCAGACTCTTCAGACAGTTCAGATATGATGGAAAAACATGGAGAGGCTCTCAATCCAAATGATATGTGAAACTTACAGAAAAGTAGACATCAAGTCTCCTTCAATGTGTTTAAAGATTTCAAACTCCTCAGGGATTTGAGGTTGCCTCTCTCTCTCTCTCTCTGCACCAAGCAAACCTGCTTTTACGAGGAGATTCACGTCAGGAAAACTCTCTTCTTTGGTTTGAAAGTGACAGCAGAGTGACACCGAACCTTGTTGATCTCTCTAACTGAAGCTGACGCACTCATGAGGAACAAGTTCCTCTTTTATTTCCGATCCCCTTCAACGCAGCAGCAGCAGCAGCAGCACGGCTTTACAGGCTACATACATGTGTAGAGACTTCCACTCCGGTATTCTATAACAGCGCCGTGCAAATATAGGTCACACATCCTCTCTGATCATCTAACCGGTGCCATGTCCTCTGGGCTCAACTGCCATTAATTCAGCACACAGCAGCAGCAGCAGCAGCAGCAGAGCTCTGTCTACCTGTGGCAACTTTCTAATGGGAAACTGCAGCGCGCTCATTTGATCCCCCCCTCCCCCAAAAAAACGAACAGCCTGTTATTACTCGTAATGTTGGCTGCAGCTTGTCTGCCCTGACAATTTAAATCCATAAGCATAAACCACATCCAAAAACGAGTGTGTACACAGAGCTGTAAATGTCATCCACATTAAGTCACAAGATTTATGGAGGCTTGATTGGAAACAGAAGAGAAAACGCGCGTCAAAAACCCCGTTTGCGTGCGTAAATTTCCTCTTTTACGCACGATCGTCGTCAAAAGGGCGCAGTTCGTTCGATACTGTGGCATTATTCGCTTTCAATGAGATTAAAAAGGGGCTCAAATCGATGCATTTCTTGCTCATAAAATAATTCAGCAGCACAAGGGTTAAAATGAAGCCTCTGAGCAGAGCGGCAGCAGCCAGCCTATTAAATACAGGCACGATATATCTCTGCCCTGCCATATAAGGTAATGGCGAAAAAGCGGCGAAATAACGCATTTTACACTCAATCATTCCCGGGTTTTTGTCTCGATATTTGTACATGGAGGGGTTTAGACTATATTTATCGCAAATACGCTCGATTTGCGCTTCCAGTTTTCGCCCTGTTCCTGTTTTTTTCCTGTGCCCTTCAGCCGCGGCCAGGGAGCGCATACGCCCTGCTTCCCTAGCAACAGCATGAAAGGAGAAAGAGAGAGAGAGAGAGGGAGAGAAAGACAGAGAGAGAGAGAGAGAGACCAGGGGAGAATTTAACTTTGTGACAAACAAACACGCTCTTGATGAAAATGGCGCAGAGATGGAGTCGTTTCCTCAAACATTATTTTGTCTTTAAACGCATCCCAGCGAATCGAAATGCAGACTCCAAAAGGCGCAGAGCACCGAGAGCTCTATTGAGAAACCTCTCAGGAGTTGGGAGGTATTCTCTCTGTCAGCTCTGTTTACCCATCAGGTACCCAAAATACAAATTATATGTCATTGAGTGTTTGCACAGGCGGGAATGACGCCAGATGTCTGCGTCAAAGCAGAGATCATCATTTAGAAAATCCTCTGAGTCAGCCTGACGGCGGGAGCTGATCACAGCTCGATACATGTGCTCACACCTGTAGGAACAAATCAATGTAGAGCGACTAAGAGGACTTTTCTGACATGTACAGAGCATGAGCGAGTCTGCAGAATAAAATCTTTTACATTTTGAGGGTCAGAGGAATCAGGAACTAATCGTCCTTCCTAAAAAGGAATTTCTCCGCCGCCTTGAAATTCTTGAGAAGCTGAGTGTCACATTGAAACCACCCGAAATTCACAAGAACTTCTCATATCCAGACTAAATCTTTTTGACTTTATCACCAGACATGAATAATAGCGGTGTGTTGCTGCTGTTCCCAGGTCTGTGCGTCCTCGCAGGAATGCACCCAGGTGAGTTGGGAGTCCCTTCTGCACTCCTTCACCTGCGGCGTTTGCTTTTCACGTCAGTCTTGAAATTAACCGATTTTATTTTAGCCCGGTTGTGGAGGTCCTGACATGTGACAGAAATATATATATAAAAAAAAGACACACAAATCCACTTCACACGTTTGGAAAGGTGCTCATAAAAAGCTGCGCCGGTTCAGTAATTAGATTAAGGAAAAGTTGTGAAAACCTCACATTTCACCCCGCAGAGACGCTTCCTCACATCTTTCAGCTCTTATTCCGAACACCAAAAAAACCATCTCTCAGCTTAAACTTCATTTAAACCTTTAAAACTTTCATTCAGTCAGACTGTTTGGGTTGAATTTGTAGATCTGCTTTTTTAACAACTCAATTTTTGCAGAAACCCTCCAACATTTATTCTGTCCTTGCTGCTCCGCTCAAGGTCAAACACTGGATCCTCATGTTTTAGATAAACCCAGTCAGGGTCAGCGGGTCTGCTCTTTATCTTTTGCTTAAAGGCAGGAATTTATTTCAGCTACAAGGTTGTTTTTCCAGTCACACATTTTAGCGCAAGAAGATATATTATTTTGGGATTTCTGCGGCAGAGAAATCTGTTTTTTAAAAGGATGTTAAACTCTCAGTGACTCAAGGAGGCTGTCTGAAGGACACGGGTGTGATTTCTGCTCAGTCAAGAAGTGGAAACAAGATGATTGTGAGTGTTTTTCAAATGAATTTGAGTTTGGAGGTTCAGGGTCAGGTTAAGTCCTGATCTCTGGTCCCATCTCAGCAGGAAGTAAAGCCCGTAATGACTCCATTTTCTGACACAAGCAGCAACACCTATCCCCCCTTTTTTTTTTTCTGACTTTCGCACACCGACACAGAAACACGCTCGACGTGCACACAGCTGGCTCACTGCAGAGGAGAGCCACAAAATGGAGGAAGCGAGGAGGCCCTCCCCTTTCCTTGGCACCCGCCACCTACAGCGCCAGGAGTGCCAAGTGAGGGAATGGAGGGATGAGGAAGAAGAAGAAGAAAAAAAAGGTGTGGTCGAAAGTAAAGATTAGAAGGAGTGAAGACGAGTATCTGGAGAAAAGACTCGATCGGTTTAAGGGACAGAGAGCGAGGACGGTGAGAGAGAGTTTAGAGGGAGGGGGAGGAGGTGAGGAGGTGAGGAGGGGAGGAGGTGAGGAGGGGGTGTTTGCAAAAATGTTAAGAGGGCCCTACAGCCATTCTCACGGCGCTCAGCGGGCGGTCATTAAGCTCCACTATCAAACAGGCTGATGTAGGAAGGACATCCAGATGAAACCCGCACAAAGACAGGAGAGGCAGGGTTCACACGGCCGACAGAAACACGCTGAGTTACTCTTTAATTAGCTGGAACTGTAAATATGCCGCATGATTACAATATACAAGTCTATCCAGGCTAATTACGCCGCAACAAAAGCGACCCTCTCTCTCTCCCTCTCTCTCCCTCTCTCTCTCTCTCTCTCTCTCTCTCTCTCTCTCTCTCTCTCTCTCTCTCTCTCTCTCTCTCTCTCTCTCTCTCTCTCTCTCTCTCTCTCTCTCTCTCTCTCTCTCTCTCTCTCTCTCTCTCTCTCTCTCTCTCTCTCTCTCTCTCTGCTTCAGGTGCTAACACAGAAATCTCCCGTTTCCTTTGTCTGCCCTGACACATGTTTAATTATGATAATTGTAACAAATGAAAGCTATTAGGAGGCCATTCATGAAGATTTTAATGCACTATGAAGATGGAGTAAGGAGGTGTGTGTGTGTGTGTGTGTGTGTGTGTGTGTGTGTGTGTGTGTGTGTGTGTGTGTGTGTGTGTGTGTGTGTGTGTTGTGGAGTAGGAGGGGGGCAGCGGAAATTCCTCCTCCAGTGTCATTGTCATGGCCATTGTTGCAGCGAGGCGACAGGTCTACAGAGAGGGGTGCTCCTCTGCCAGGGTGGGCTCCCCCCTTCTACGCACCCTCCCCTCGCTCTCTCCCTCTCTCTCCCTGCCTGCGAGGCTGCCGTCGTGTGGGGTTCACCCCCCTCCCCTCAAACCACCACCACCACCGCCGCCGCCGCCGCTGCCTCCTCTTCCACCAGCATACGCTTCCCCCATTGATCCCCAACATACCCAGGAGGTGGAAGGAGGGGGTGCAGGGAGGGCTTACGCAGGCTTCCAAGGGAGGGGGGCAGGCAGGGGTGAGGGTCGAGGGAGGAGGTGGTGGTGCAGTGGAATCCCGGCAGCTGAATGCACGACTCGTCGATACAGTATTGAGCTGCAGCACGACAAGAGAGAGAGGAGAGAGAGAGAGAGAGAGAGAGAGAGGGGGGATAGCATGCATGTCTGTCTGCAAAAAGAAAGCTGCACCCCCTCTGTGTTCTTGAACGCAGCGCCGTGCTCCTCTGTGTTGAAATTATTCATCTACTGCACATCAATGATAGATGCTGCTCTCGTGCTCTGTGCAGGAAATCACAATAGTGAGCCAAAGCAACACAATGGTGCACCTCGGAGAACAATAGCCGAATAATGCGCCGAGTAATTGTGTGGATTTGAAAGCAGGAACGATTCCCTCTTGTGCGGGGATGCTGCGCTTATTTCCCCTCGTAGCAGACGCAGCTAAATGTGCCCGTGACCCGGTGCTCAGATTTAGCTCCCTTCACTCTAATGCCATGCTAATGATGAGTGACGCAGGCCCCTTATCCTGAGAGCCCTTTCCTCCCTCACCCCCTCCTCTCCTTTCCTTCCCTCATCTCCCGGGAACAGCTTATTTGCCTGTTTTTAATTGCGTTTTAATTTACATGTAAGCCTGGAAGCACCGTGATGAGGAGCTGTCTGTCCTCTCCTTTCTTTAACCCTTCTTCTTCTTCTTCTTCTTCGTCTTCTTCTTCTTCTTCGCCCGCCCTCCTTCACCGCTGAGGAAACATGCAGGTTTTACAAGGAGGAAGAAAATTGAGCAATAACAACCTCGAGATTACGAATGAACACAACAAACTGTGGCGGGGAAACCAGGCGCACGGTTCCTCTTTATGGGGTCAACACCGGTTCAGAAACAATCAAGTGTCCGGGGGCAGATAGGAACACGACAGAGAGAGAGTGGGGGGCGACGCGAGTGGATGATGTCGATGGAGCGGCCATCTTTCCATCAAAATGTAATAAGAGGAAGAATGGACAGTGAGCTCGCAGATAGACAAGTTTAATGTGCTCGTCTATCTATATGGAAATTCAACCACGCGGGCGTTCACCCCGCCGCTTTCTCTACTTCCCCTTTTTTTCCCCCCCTTTATCATAATTCACTTTGGGTTTTGATTGGCTGCGAAGAGAAGGAGCCGGAGACGAGGAGCAGAGAGATAAAGAAAGCTTTTTTTTCTGTTCTTTTTCAGGGACTTAAGATTTGTATTAAATTTAGAGAGATAATCAAGTTGCACGGGAGACATTTTTCTGCAAATCACCCCAGAAAGCGCCATCCTCTGCAGTTTCAAATCACAACATAAACAGCGACTCTGCAGCTCAGTGTTATCTATTATTCTCCTTCTCCCTTTTTCTTATTTTGTCTCACTCACTCCGGCTCTCTCTCATCTTTCTCCCGCGTTCAAAATACACGACGGAGAGAACTTTCCAGGCAATGAGCCATAATACCCACATGACTTTATAATCACCTCTCGCTGCGATAGCCTCTGGCGAACCTGTCAGGCCTCACACAGGCAGGCAGGCAGAGCTGGAAGTGTGTGTCGCTCATCGCTCTGCCACGTGCACCAGACTTCATACACTCAACACAGGAACTTGTTGTGTGCGTCGCAGGTACTGCAGCCCGCCACATCAGAGCGAAGCGGGGCCTCTTCCTGAACACAACAGCACAGACAGGCTTTTGTCTGCTGCGTGACCTGCACTGTCTCAGTCAGTTAGATAATCAGCCTGCGAGTATGAGAGCAACACTTAACAGCAGGCTTTTGAGCTGCACAGACAATTATACAGGATTACTCATTTATGCACACACACAAACTGCGTGGTTTAAGGCTTCAAGATCCTGCAGACATCATTTTAGGCTTTCCTCAAACTGCAGGAGTTCAGCTCACACCAGGGAGTGAAAAATCTTCATGCAGCGCACACTTTGTAGAAGAAACTTCACCGTTTTTTTTTCCCCTCTGTATCTGTAACTTTGCTCTTTGAGATCTAAATATAACTTTGGATATTTTTGCATACCGGAGAGAGAGTATTTACAATCTCATGTGATTTCATGCTGCAGCAGAAGTAAACAAAAGCAGAAACTAAACACGGCTCACTGTAGTGAGAAAAAAATGACAAAAGTAGGAGGTTAAATGTGTCTGGATGAGGAAACATCTAAATAGGAGGTGGAGGTAAGACGGTGCGTGCATGCTAGCTAACGTTAACCTCGAGGTTTGGATATTTAAGGTGTTTAGAGACTCTTTTAACAGCTCTGTCTCCTTCCTGCTGACATCGTTTATCGTAGTCTAGCTCAGAGCGTGCAGACATGATAAATCCGACTTTAACATGTTTGAAATCATGAGAATCGAGATCGTCTGACCGGACCAGCAGAGCTAAAAAAAATAAGTCAAACCTCCAGGCCAAAATCTGTCTCTCTAACAGGTTTGTACATGACATAGAAGTTTTTTTTAAAGTCAAAAATGTTTATATTTACTGCACTTTTCTCAAAATGTAAATTACCACACTCTAATTATTTAATTTTATTTAAAACATGTTCCTTTTTTTACTTAAACGTCACCTCAGATACACTGAGAGCCATCCCTCTGAAACGATGATCAGTACTTATGTACTTCAACTGAAAAATAAAAGATCATATCAGATTCAGAGTAAAGTCATTATCACAAAAACAGAACACTATGTTATTTTCCTCGAGACGATGCAAAAACTCAAGATCCTATTCCTCGATATCACACACCAAGAAGAGGATCTGAATTAGGATTTAAAACTGTCAGCCAGTAGAAAAAGAAAATTTTACTTTCCAAGTTCTTAAATTAAGAATTAAAACTTTAACTTTATTTCAAGAAACTTAACGTGTGTTTTTAATTCATTCAGGTTGCGTTTTTTGCAATTTCTTAAAAAAAAGTCTTTTTCTGGATTTTTGGGCAGATGTGGATTCAAAACAACATTTGTACCAGAAACAAGATCAAACAAAGGCTAATATTTAAGGTTTTTGTTGTTGTAGTATATGATGTTATTTTATATAGTACAACATGACATGATACATTTTAATATAGAACAATAGGACACAATAAAAAAGGCACTATATGATACAATAAACTACATTACTAAATAGTATGACAGAATTATGATACAATACAATATGAATTATTATGATACAAAACAACATGTTACAAAACAAAATGATACAATACAAAACAATATTGTATGTTACAATATGACACGATATGATACAGCACTCTTTAAAAACAGCCTTAGCTACTTTACCTGCAAGTATTTATGGTTATTGATAATTTTCTCTGTTTGTTTTTTGACAATCAAAACCACTTTCATAAGGATCACACAAAATAAGCCACAAAAAAAACAGTTCCCACTTTGTCCAGAGGGGGCGCCAAGGGTCAAACACACAGAGAGTTTCCCCCATGAGCTTAAAAATAGTGAAAGAAGAACATTTTGGCATTAATTTCCACCCCCCTTTCAGCAATCACGACAATATTAAACCTTAAACATGTAAATCAAGCGCGCCCCATACATGGGGACCACGGTCCCCGCAGTGGTCGCGGGTTCGAGTCCGGTCCCGACCATGTGCCACATGTCCTCTCCCCTCATTTCACACTGTCCAATCAATAAAAGCAAAATCGCCCCAAAAAAAAACCAACAAAAAAAAACCATGTAAATTAATCTCTAAAATTTACAGAATCGACCCGGACTCTTGACTATATTAAGTGAGTGATATGAATTCATGCAGCCTCCGCATGCAGAGGAATCCCCCCAATAATAACACCCAGGATTGGGGTCTCCAGAAAACCCTGATTCAGCGAAGCTTAAGATAATTCAGCAGCTTCGTCTTTGTCAAACCGAAGACACACAGAGAAGATTGCCCCGCTTATACCGTGCATCCCATGTGTTCCAATTCGATATGGTTCCTCCGTGATATATCTCTCTTGTCCTCATGTGATGGTTATTTAAAGGGAGAGTCATGGATTTTTCTCCCCCATGCTACATAATGGCAAATCAATAACACAGGCTATACTGGGGAGAGCGGGCATTTCATAGAGCGGCCTGAAGGATGGGAGGCCAAATTGAAGCGGAGTTCTTGCAAAAAGGGACGGATGAATTTTTAAAGTGCATTAAAAATAAATGTTTAATCGCTCCTGTAATTTATTTCAGATTTACCTCCTGAAATCAAAGAAATAAATCCACTGCATGGTTTTTAAATCAGCGTCTCCTCTGCTCGGCTGTCTTTGCTCTCTCAGTGTGTGTGTTTAGTGCGAACACACATGTGGAACATGAGGACGCCGACGTGCCTGCAGGGTCCCCGTGGTGTGCGCACACACTTAAACACACTTATGCATGTTTTTCCCATGGCAAGACCTGTCAGCTAGCAGACGTCTGACATCATGCTCGGAGCGAGGAGTCGGTTTTCCACTGCCTGTGTGTGTGTGTGTGTGTTACAGTGTGTGTGTTACAGTGTGTGTGTGTGTGTGGGTGTGTGTGTGAGGAAAGGAGGAAGACGGTTGTTATCATGACTTATGGATCGGACAGCAGTTTCCTACTGGGCAGAGGAGACAGGAATGGTTACACAGAGGAATGCTGTTTTTTTCTGTTTTCTTTCCACAGTGGAGAAAAGGATGAGAGGATGACAGGAGGAGAGGAAAACAAGGGAGTGAATCTTCTCCTCCAACCACCAGTGGAGACAAAAACCACAGAGGGAGAGGAGAAGAGACAGATGCCACAAGACAAGACGCCCTGAGGTCCTCTGTGTTTACACTTTCCATGCTGTCAGTCAGATCCTCCTCCTCCTCCTCCTCCTTCGCCGTCGTCTTTATCTCTGACACAGCTGGCGATCCCTCAATGACTCACCCCGAAAGAGCTGGAAACCTGCTTCTGCTTAAAGAGGAGGGGTGGGTTGTTTTAGGATCGACAGCAAATCCCGCTTAATCATCTCCGCTGATGGCCTTTAGGCGTCAAAGAGGGAAACTCTGGAGTTACGGCGGCACGATACTGGAAAAAACGAACATCGCAATTTTTTTCAACCCTGCGATATATCTCGGGATCTTGTTCACGAGATCGGAGCGGCGTCAGCAGTGATGCGGTCGTAAGGCGAGACTCTCGATTTACCGGTCGATCTACGTGCCGATCCTCACCTATGGTCATGAACTTTGGGTAATGACTGAAAGAACAAGATCGCAGATACAAGCGGCCGAAATGGGTTTCCTTCGCAGGGTGTCCGTGATCAGCCTTAGAGATCCGGTAAGGAGCTCGGACACTCAAGAACCGCTGCTCCTCAAAATCGAGAGGAGTCAGCTGAGGTGGCTCTTGTATCTGGTTAGGACGCCTTCTGGACGCCTCCTGTTAGAGGTGTTCCAGACATGTCCAACCAGGAGGAGACCTCGTGGCCGGCCCAGGACCAGGTGGAGGGATTATATCTCTGGCATGTCCTGGGAGCGCCTGGGAATCCCCCCGGAGGAGCTGGTGGAAGTGGCCGTCTGGGCTTCCCTCCTGAAGCTGCTGACTCCGTGACCCGGACCAGGATGAAGCGGAAGAAAACCTGCGATATATATTGACCTGAACAGCACTTTATGCTGAAACCTGGAGGACGGTTAACCTGCACTGATCTTACCTCTTTCTGTGAATGTTAGTAGAATGGCTTCTGTCTGTTTTGACGTTATTGTGGTGACAGATGAACACAAAACACGTGTTTTGTTCGACAGATTACTTCCTTTTGGCAGCAAGTCTTCATTTACGGTGGTTTTCTTTTGTTTGTTGCTCATTTTGCAATCGCTGTTGTTGTTACTGGTGTTGTGCCAAGAAACGCATGTCCTCTGGGGATTGCATGCACTTCGTGGAAACGCCCACCGCTTATAGTAGAGTGGTCCACGGGAATGTGGATTTTCCACAACAGGGCGTGGTTTCCTCCTCTCTGATTTTGGTTGACAGGTGGCAGGATAGTCTGATTGGCAACTGTTGTGGATCGCTGTACAGCACATGCAGAGTCACATGCAGAGTATCTCAGTCAGCTACCCTTGAAATTAACTGAGTTTATTCACCTCCTAAAATTGCAGGATCTGCAGTATGACGGTCGCGCACACGTACATCGCGATGACGATGCTCAAACGATACATCGTGCAGTCCTATCTGGAGTAGTCTTACACTTCACATCCAGATATGGCGACGGCTGGAGTAACACTCTGTGACTGTTCAGCTTTCCCCACGCTCCCTCTCTGACAAAGGAGAGGTTGTCCTCCGTGCATCCCGGCCTGCAGAGCCCTCGTCGGGGCGAAGCTCTCGCCAAACTCCTTAGGCCGAGGCGATTTTCAAAGAGCCTCTTTTGTGTTTGTGCAGCCTGAGAGGAGCGGATGACTAACAAGCTGTCAGAGCGGTGCAGTTTTCTCGGCGTGAACGCCGTCAGATCAGACCCTCTTATTCATGTTTTCATTGATCTGCGTGGCTGCGAACGATGAAGACAAAGCCCGCGAGCAGAAGGACGACGCGCTGCAGAATAAACCTCAGTCAGACTCCTCTTAATGCAAACACAAACAGAATACACACACACACGCACGCAGACACACAAACACACGCAGGAGACAGTGGTCGATGAAGAGCAGAGGTGCTATCTTATGGACTGCACCGTGTCACCTTTCACACCTCTGCAAAAGCTGCACACATGCGTCAAATGCACGCACACAAAGCCACACAAAAGTGAATTATGAGAGAATAAGGTTTCATTGGCTTCCCGTGCGCACTCACACTCACACACACACACACACACACACAGGTTCGTGTAGATGCTGTACGGCAGGGATGTGTGATGTTCATCTAACACTCGAACACCTTGTAGCAGGGCAAACACTCACACCTTCCCATCCTGTGCTGAATCTGACTTTTGACACATACAGGCTCAAAAACTCGCCCCCTTTAATCTGAGCAGGAAGGAAGCATCTTATACTGTAGCTGGTTGTGATGAAGATATGAAGCCAAAGTGCAAATTTTTTTTAATGCAGATGCAGATTTAGAATTTAGTGCAAAAATCAGAAGAAGTGCACGCTCACAGGATGCAGAGAAAACTAAAAATCATTCATAACTTGAAGGGAATGGTCCTGCCTTCACGATAACAGTCATTATCTCTGCTCATGTGTGTGTTATCTGAGTATTAAGTGCTGCTTAATCTGCTCCAGATTGTAAAATTCACTTTAATCCATTTTTTCCTGTCAGTAGTTTCTCTTCTTGTCTGTTATGTCCTGATTCTTTTACATCTTCGGCACTTTGCTGCATGAAGCACATGTGTGTGACACGCCTGGACAGATATGTACAGTAGGCAGCTCTGCAACAGTCTCCATGCAAATGCTGCAGCCTGAAAAGCACATGCAAAAGTCTGAGGTGAATGAAACAGTGATAATGCATTACGGATTGAAAGAACAGGCGGGGAAAATTAAATGCAACTGCAGATAGCAAGAATGCAAACAATGCAAAGAGGGAGGTGGTGCTCCAGACCTGAGGGGGCGCTACGTGTAGAAACTTTAAAGTGACAGGGCAGAGAGGAAGAGGGGATACTGTGACTGTATATCCTGGTTATGTACCCACTGAGCATTTTTTGGTCTAAAAGAGGTCTAATAAACGTCCAAATGTAGTCGAGATGACTGGTCTAAAATCAGTCAACCACAGGTCTAAAAATGAACGTTTATTAGTCGTCTAAATTTAGACGTCTAAATTTAGACGAGCCGGCTAACAGAGGTCTACACTGTATGTTGTTGGACAGCTATCATGATTATTTTGGTGAATCTGGAGATCAGTTATGATACTCACAGTTGCTTTTTGAAATGAATAGTTATCGAATAAATGGGTTAAAGTGCAACGTCTAAACTCTGTCTAAAAATATACAGAATCCAGACGGTTGAAATGAGAAAACTAGAAATTAGAAAACTAGATGTCTAATAGCCGTCTATTGCTCAGTCGGTAGGATGACCATACATCCTCTTAAACTCGGACACGTCCTCTTTTTTGGAGTGGCTGTCTGGTCTGTCCTTCAGATGTCTGCAGTTTTGTACAGAAGTATTGAGTCTGTGTAGCGTGAACTAACTGACTGACCCGAAAAACCCTCAAAGTTTCACGCACGACTCCGCCCTGCAGAGTCCTGTCCTCTTTTTGGGGATTCAACATACGTCCATGTAGGTTCTCATTCATCCAAGTCATGGTTATCTCCAAGAATCCAAAATCAGGCAATTGAAATGTGTAAAGTTACAGAAAACGTTTCGCTGCTTATCCAAGAAGCATTTCTAAAATAGCTAGTAAGAGGAGCAGGTATTTATTTTACTGGAGAAGGGGAAAACAACGACTGGGAGGAGCTGGAATGACCTGTTCCCCTCACCTGCTATTTCAGAACCTCAGGTAGCTTCTTGGATAAACGGCGAAACGTCTTCTCAAACTCTACACAGTCCAGTTGCCTGATTTTGGAGTCTTTGAGATAATTCAACAAACTGCGATTTAGAGAGGAGGGTCACAGCTCCAAGATCTTTGGCACCAATACACCGCAGCTTTTCCCCGTCATGAACCTCAGTCAGGCCTTCAACTATCAGTGAAATTACCACTGCATGGTTTATAGAAGTGATCCTGTACACTAGTCGGGTTGCTGCTCATGCATTTTACTCTGTGATGGATGCACACACGAAAGCACAACCTAATGAAGGCTTGAAGCATGCAGGTCTTTAAAAATAGTTGCACACTTCTTCTACACACGACAGACACTGAGACAACCTTCCTGATAATTGTGCAGCATGCATAAAACACACACACACACACACGCCATCCTCCTTATCAAACTATTTGTCATCTGCTCGCTCATATTTCTGCAGAACTGCCAGATCGTGTTGTTTTTACCAGCTTCACTCACACACAGACACACACACCATGAGCGAGAAGCACATGCTCAGAGCTGAAAGCAGAACAAGACCGTTTTAGTGCGAATCTGCTCGTTTTCTACAGATCCCTTTAACCAAAACAGACTTCCAAGAAGACTCAAACGAGCGCCTGCTGCAGAGTTGTAAAGAAACCCATTGATTTTTTTCACCCTCTCTAACCAGACGTCAACATCTGAACAGGCGAACAGCTTCCTAAAGACAATACCCGCTCTGTGGATGTTTCCCTGACATCCTCGAACGTGGTTGTTTTTTTCTGCAAGAGGGGAGACGATCCTGTGGGAGAAAGATCAGAAAAAGTAGGGAGGGCAAAGAAAAATCGGTGATTGGATCGGAGGGATGTGAAAATACAAAGGGTTTAAAAAAAAAACACATTAGTGGAAAAAGGAAGAATGAGTTTTATTGGATGAAACATGAGTCATCAATAAGTAAAAAGCTGAAGCAGAGTCTGTTTCTACACTCCTCCATCGAGTCTAGACGTTGTGCATGTAGATCTGAAACCCAACCATCCTTCCTGAACTCTATAATGTCGCAGCTTCTGTATAAAAAGCCTGATCAATGTCCGTTTAACCAACAGATGGATAATAAACTGCAGACTGTAATGACACCGTAAAACTGATGTTGATCCAGAGTTAGGCGGCGCTTCTCCTGAACGCATTGATCGAGGGCGGCCACATGACTGATTGCATCAGTGTGATTATTGACGGACACGTGGAGAAAGGGCGCGTAATTAAACCGTCCCTGGTGAGCGCTCGGGTCGCCCTGATGGCGATCGGCAATAAACACAAGACGACGCACCAAGCGGGGGTCCGAGATCGATGTCTGAGGCTCGCGTTTCAGAGCGGGGAGTCAAGTCATGTGAGTTCACAGAGCAAATCCACGAAGAGTTGGGTTTTTCAAAATAAAAGCATCATAACTTTAGGGTGACCTTGTTCTGAATCCCCAAAAAGAGGATGCTACTATGAGGGGCGGAGTCGCACACAAAATTTTGAGGGTTTTTCAGGTTTGAGCCAGTGTTTTTTTTTTTCAATGTGCTGCTAACTCAGTCAGTCCACGCTACACAAACTCAAAACTTACAAAACCCCGGACATCTGAAGGATATTATAAACCCCCCATGGACAGGCCGAACAGTTACCCCAAAAAAGAGGACATGTGGTCACTGTCGCTACCCTCTGACTTTTCAAACTATCAAGGGGGGATGTTTTGGAGGTGTGTGGCCACCCATGGTGCACCCTTCCTGGGCCACAGAGATCGCCACAACCCGGTCAAAATGACGGTTTTCTGACTTTTTAAAGTATCAAGTGGGGGATTTATTTCATTTATTTTATAAATTAAAAACACATTGTGGACAACGAATTTCAGCGTTTTTATACAACATTTCAATTTCAACAATAAAATATTTACATTCATTCAAGCCTTTTATAACTATGTTGCAATTTTACAGTGAAGCTGAACCTTTAATCGTGAAACTGGGCGCCGTTCTCTTGACTTTCCGGCGCTCTGCGTCAGTCGGGGGAAACACAGGAGAAAAAGAAAGGCGTGTGGCGCGTGATAAACTGAAGCATCGAGTGTGACTGAAGTGAGCTCGCTGATGCTGACGCTGACACTGTCGCAAAGATGGCTAGTAGAGGACGTGACATATGTTTCAGGTTTCCGATTTTTTTTTTGTAGGATGGCAGGGGAAGGTCCCGTCCTCCTCCGCCTCTGATTGGCTAGAAGCACTGGGCTCGGATTGGTTATTCCTAATGGCCTTGAAACGTTATCGTCTGTCAGGTTAAGGTTAGGAGATTCAGAAGTGCGATAATGTTCTGTTCGACAGAGCCGACAGCCTGCACTCAGCTTGAGCGTGTGATGACGTTTCCAGCTTTTCTAGCCAATCAGAGGCAAAGGAGGCGGGACTTTCCCCTACCATTCTACAAAAAAAAAAATTTTGCTTCCGGGACGGATCAGGTAGCGTCATTCACCCTACCTAACAGTTGGCTAGCTCCGCTGACTGAAAGGTCATCACATGTTGTTTGACCTCTCTCCATTCATTTCTCCATTCATTGTCTCTCAGGTCATAATTGCAGTTTGTGGTGTTTTCAAAGTAAAAGGTGTGATCAGATGAGTTTTCCTGCACCTGAATCTCGAGTAGATCATGCACAGAGCTTGGAGAGGAAAGGAAGAGAACCAGACCACATGCTGATTGGACGCTGCGGTGATCCAAACTGAGTGGTGAGTTAAAACTGTTAAATTCTCCTCCCGCTGAATCAAACAGTTTCTCCGTCTCTCCATGTGAACTAATTTTCTGTCATGTCTTCATGTCACACAAAGCCTCCGTCAGAATCTTTCTCCCTCCGGGCCTGCTCCCCGCTCTGACCTCCTCCATCATCTGCGGCCGAGAATGACTTTGATTCCTTCTTCACGGCCTCGTCTCATCCGTCTCCCGCAGCTCTCTATTGTCTGCGGCTGCAACAAAATGACAGTGATACATACGGCACATTACAGAGACAAAAGGTCGACAAGACCCAGTTTGTGTTTGCATAAAAAAAAGTGGTATAAAAAATTCACAGAGCTGGGGATTCGTCGGCCCCCTCGTTTAGAGACCGGAGCGGCTGAGGTGCGCGCGAGGAGCCCGTTAAAATGCACTACAGAAAAAGAGATTTGGGGGGAGCCCTGTGAAAAACCATGCATGTAATCATCTCTCTTCCCCTCTCAGTTTATCTGTGGAGGATTTGGAGGAGGCTTTGGTTCCCCTCTCCCGCCCTGCCCCTCAACCTCCCCCCTCCCCGTAACACACATTAATATTCATAGAGAAGATTCTCTCCTTGCTGTCTGTTGCTGCCTGTAGCGCACACACTCGGCTTATTAGGAGGCTAAAATATGGCTAGCAGACTCTGCTGGGAGAGGCTATTGTGGTTTTCATTTACTGCCTGTGTGAGGATGATACATGCATGGATGGATCCGCGAAACCATCGGACTATCTGTGCTGTCGTCATCTTTTTATGAAGGATTCAGGGAAGAGACCGGAGACCTGATCAGATGTTGTGTTCTGAGTGTTTCTCGTTTTAATGTTGTATCTCAAAGTTTGGACCTCACTCAGGCTAGTTTAGTGTCTTGTAGAGAGAGGATTGTTTCCTTTAAAACCTAAAAATACCCTCTTTTTTACATGGCAAATGTCTTAAAATAGTCAACATGTTGCAGCCCACTCAGGTCTTTATCATTCGATACACTTACAGCCGAAAACCTGCATGTGCACCTGACAGATCCAAACAGCCAGCAGCACTTCTACTCCTTTTGTGCTTTTCCTGCACCTCTAGGCGTCATCGTCTTTATCTTTATCTTTATTCTATTTCAAGCAGATGCATAAAAAGCAAGTTAATCAGTCGGTAAGTTTGCAGTTTGCAGAGTTGTCCGTACTTCTTCATCAGGTGATGTTTGAGACTCGGCGTACTTTGGCGGGGACTTAATTTACATCGAGAGTAAACGAAAATAACTTTGGTTTCAGTGTGAGAATCACCTGGTAGGGTTTAGCAGGGCCCGACCGATTTATCGACCAGCTGATTAAATCGGCCAGTTTTAGCCCGTTTTAGACTTATCGGTAATCGGCCAAAACTCGCAGATTTTCGCCGATATTTTCAGAAATAAAATGCGGAGAATAAGATTCGGTTTCACTTTGAAAACACTTTTCTGGTCCCAGTTTGATTCATGATAAATTCATGATAAACGTGGAATATTTCTTAGAGTAATACCTCTGGAAAGTGTTTGAAAGGAGCCATTTGTTAAAAGAAATAAGTAATTATATAATCGGTGTCGGCCCAAAGAAAACCATATCAGTCGGGCCCTAGAGCTTAGAGGCCAAACTTTGACATAAATATCTATTTTCATACTCCAGGAGGTTTGTTGCATCTTCATCTGATCTGCTGCACAACTTCAGGACGAGTGAGGGTCATAATTTTACTGAACATGAACGTGTGAATAAACAAGGAAAAAATGAACAAACAGGATCAAACTGTCCAGGTCTCAGGGGGAGAGGTAGAGAGTGACTGGTGTTGAATTTTAGGACTTGATGAAATATGTTTCAGCCTCACAAATGGATAATATTGTTTCTAACGTTAAATTTTTACATTAAAGGATTACTACCTTTGAAAAGTAACTTATTAAATTTCTACATTTATAACTAAAAAGCTCTGAACTGATGAAATTCTGCGTGTAAACCGGCCAAACTGGTGTGCAGCTCAAAGCAAGAGTGAAAACATAAAAGTGCAAATGCATCAGAAAAAAGAAAAGTTTTTTAAAGATAAAATGATCTAAATAAAAGGTGATCATGTGAGGGGTGATTTTTTTTTTTGCAGAACTAACATGTTAAATAACTTGTTTCAGCAAAACACGTTACGTAAGTTTTAGAGGAGCTCCCTTAGTTGCAGAAAAACGAGGAAGCTACAAACTATGATCCTGGATTTGGAGAAAAGTCTTGAAAATAAGCGTGCAAATTTGGGAAATTGACACTCCTGGAAAAGTAGGAATGAAAAAAGTAAAGAGTAACTTCTTAAACTCAACTCTGAACTGGAGATTTCCTCCAAACCTGCAGTGATGAGCTGTCAGATTAGTTTTTAGTTTTTATAAAGATGATTTAAAGTACGTGCATGTTTAGTTTGTAGAAACGGTCTGTTGTGAGTTTGTCGCCTCGTGTCGAGCTGCAGCACATTCAGTCGGTTGATCTTGTGGCCTGTTTTGGTCAGAGCGACCACGGTGGAGTGAGTCAGACTGAGACCAAGTGCTCCACTTTGCCCTTCCTGCTTCGCTGTAAGACAAACATTAAAAACAGAGGAGGAGGTGACTCACGGCTGCCCTGAACTATCACCATCATTACTCAGAGTCATTAAGTCAATCTCCACATAATCAGGCTTTTACGTCTCCTCGAGTTTATTCTTCTCCCTCACAACTTCACCTCTTGATTTATTCCTCAGGTGTGGCAGGCTGCCAGATGTTCGCCTGCACGCCGTGTGCAAATCTTCCACCTGTCTCCCTCCTTCATAATCTGCACATACAATCTAAAGTGTGTTAGAATAAGGGGTTTTAAAATGAAATAACATTTTTGACGTGTGATTTAACACTGAGAGACACGAGAGAGAGAGAGAGAGAGAGAAAGACACGGCAGGGGAGCGAGATTCTTCACATGCAACAATGTCGTGAGCTGCATCGTGTTTCAAACCACAAGCCACAAGAGCTCACAACCCAAACGCTTGTATTCACACCTCCGGCTCGAGGCTGGAATCATAACTGTTTAAAAGCTGCTTTTTACCGTGATCCTCTGCAGGTCGGAGGTCGAGCCGTTCGCACAAAGAGATGCACTTAAAAGTTAAAAACGTGGTCAAACTTTTGCAAATATTTGCCTTCGCCCAAACTGACCCTGTCCTCCAGAAGACACTCGTAAGAGGAGAGAGCGGTGGAGTGCTCTCTCTCTCTCTCTCTCTCTCTCTCTCTCTCTCTCTCTCTCTCTCTCTCTCTCTCTCCTCTTTCACATGTAAATCAGTCTTTAATCTCCGCTGCTCTAATAGACAGCCATGGCAACAGAGGCAGGCCTAATGAGGCAGAGGCGCAGGTTCAAATCTGCCTGCATGCTCCCACCACACGCAAGATCAACAGTTTAAATGCACACTCTCACTCCTGCACACAAACGCACATGCATGCAAACACGACCGAGGTGCAGAAAATCCTCTTTTGCACGATATTCCTGCAAAGAAGAACACTTAGACTGTGGCACTCCTTCTGCTCAGTGCAGGTTTTTAATGGTTTGTGCAGAGAGTTGAGGGCTTTACATATTTTTAATGAATAAAAAATTAATTTTTAGTTACTCTAAATGTCAGAAAAATGCTCCTCATGGTTCTCCGGAGCCTGAACTGGCAACTGACAGGTCAAAACCAAGAAGTTTACCTAAAAGCATTAAATCAGGTGATAAATAAAGAGAAATCAAAGAGATTCATAGAGCAGAAGAGAGTTAAATCACTCCTTCTTTGTATTTAATCTTCATTTTCACTGTGAAACTGAGTGTGAAAGAAAAAGAAGAAGCTCCTGCGTCGAGTGAATCTCTTAGTCTATGTTCTCACTGCAGGTCAAGTCCGATTTTTTAACCATATGTGACACATATCAGATTTTTTCAGATCAGATAAATCGGATATGTATCCGATGTGACTGCAGTGTGGACGCTCAGGTCGCGTTCATCCGACCTACAGTATACGTCATCGATATGCAACAAACGTCACCATTGTTCAACAACAACAAACAAAGCAATGGCGGACGAGGGAACGGAGAACAGCCAGTGGTGAAAAGAAGAAACGTTAGAGTTGATAAATATATTGGGAGAACGGTCAGTTCAAGCCAAAATAGAGGGCTCATATCGTAACCGGGCGGTGTCCGAGCGAGGCATCAAGCGTTCCTTGCTGCAGCGCCATCGGAAAATCAAAAGCCTTCGTGCTGAATATAAAGAGACGAAGGACATGGACCAAAGAAGCGGACACGGCCGTGTGACCTGTGACAAACCGAACTGTCTGCTTTTAGAGCTGCTTGATAGCTCCACAGAGGACCCCGCTGACTCTCCAGGCACCACCACAGCAGCCAGCCCAGCGGGGAGCTTGTGAACGTCGCCTTATTTCCTGTCCGGTTTGATGATTCCTGCACAATTTTAACCTCCTATTTCTGCTGGATAATCCCTCCAACAACCATCAACAAGACGATCAAATCACTTTGAATATTAATTCTGCTGTCAACGTCAACTGAAACCCACGTCTAATTAGATAGTTTATTCAAATAAGGGATGAATGTAATCACAGACAGAGATTAGATACCCATCTTGATGCACTGCCAATGATACGATATAATTTGCGATACATTGAATCCCTGCCGATACGATACTCTACGATTCACCCCTGTTCTGGATTTGATACGATATGATTCACCTTCCATCCCAATACGTCAGTTTTATCTCACTTATACTTTTGTATGTACATATTTACAACTTGTGTTTACATTTTCTGCATTCAATTTTTTACATTGAGCACGTTTGAGTTTTGAAAAGTAAAGAAATTCATAAATCTTTCAAATCTGATTTTTGTTTTTTTTGAGTGTTTTTGGGTCTAGTATCTTAATATCGTATGTCAGAGTGGAAAAATAATTTTATGGTCATACAGCTGTTGTTGTTGTAATGAGAACGACCGCACAAAAAGATCAGATATAACGAAAAATCCGAATCATGCATCGTAACCTGCAGTGTGAACGTCGCCTTATTTCCTGTCCGGTTTGATGATTCCTGCACAATTTTAACCTCCTATTTCTGCTGGATAATCCCTCCAACAACCATCAACAAGACGATCAAATCACTTTGAATATTAATTCTACTGTCATCATAATCAATTAAATGCTGCGTCTAATGAGATGGTTTATTCAAATAAGGGATGAATGTAATCACAGACAGAGACGGTGAATCTACATAATCCATGAAAAAGAAAAACACGGCGTGAGAAACACAAGGAAAGGAAAAATATGACACACACACACACACACACACACACACACGAGAGCGACGTAGCTTTGACTGGAGTGTTAAAAGGCCCTTCAGTAGA